TGAGCTAGGAAAAACAAATTTTCAAACTAAAAAAAAAACAACAACATTTGATTGACCGTGGAAAATTACAAAAATAAATACAAATATTGTTTTTTTTTGTTGTGGTTTTTGTTGCTTGTCTCTAGACAAACAGATTTATAATCCAAGGTTAAACTTGTTTTAGTTTTGAAATTAGTGGCATTTTGCAGATGGTTTTTATTTGTATTGAGAACGTTTTTTATTTTTATTAAATAAATGTTTGTATCTGAAAATAGAGAAGAGAATGAAAAATTGGATTTTCAATATCTCAGAATTTTTGGTGACAAAGACAGGCAGACAAACAGGATTGACGGCATCAGGACAATAGGGTGAACTCAACACCAATTAAATCACGAAAACATACACAAAATTCGGTTTGGATTTAGACCCTTGCGATAAATTGACAATTGACCATAAAATGTGGACCAATATTGATAATTTTTTGTGGGGAGATTTTCTACCCAATGAGAATTTTTAAACAATTCGGTTGAAAAACTTACCCAAGACCCCCAAAATATCGAAGTTTGGAAGATACCGTTATATGGGAGCTACCCTGAATCTTGGGCCTATATTGTTAATTGTTTGGTAGGGAGATTTTCTACCCAATGAGAACTCAAAAATATATATTCAAGATTCCTAAAATGCCGAATAATGGCCGGTACCGTTCTCTAGTGGTTATCTATACCTAAAAGTGAACTGAAACTGAACCCAGTTTGAATACAAACCATCCTAATTATAGTAGCAATGTATTTGGAGAACTTCAAAACTCTGGCTGAAATATTGCGAGCTCTGTCGTATTTTCTTTTTTCCATTGCAACTCAGGGACCAAACATCAGGTCCCTGTGAGACCCCAATGAAAATACTACCTGAAAACTATTTTTTTGTGATTTTAAAAAAAGTCAAAAAAAAAACTATCTTGGTACGAGGGTCTCAGGGACCAAACATCAAGTTCCTGATTCTGATTCTTAGTAGTCTAAAAAAACTACCTTAGGACGAGAATATACAAAAATATATTTTAACTACTTCGGATCATAATTTATTGACCTACCTCCACTCCAAGTATAATATGGGCCTTATACCTTGTGGTACGATTTCAAAAAAAAAAAAAAAAAACAATTTTATTTGGCGGTAAATTTCATGAAACTCGATCAATTTTAGCGGATCAAATGGAGTTGGGCATTCGAGTGAAAAATTTCAACATGCAAAACATGACCCGGAAAAGTTGGCAGTTTAACAAGAAAAAAAGTATCAGTCGGTGTTGCCGGCAGATGTATACCCTCAGTGGAGGGTTTGCGGAGAGGTACCAGACGAGGTTGATTTAGAGAAATGTATAACAAATTTTCAAAATTTGAACACATTGTGGGGGAGGTACTAGAAGGAGTGGATCGATGGGTCCCATCTTCGGACATACTCAAGGTTTGGTAAAAATATTACGATGTGCAAAGTTTGGGTCAATTGGGATTTTCCATTTGTTCTATATCGAAGGAGCGAACCAATAAGTCTCATCCTCGGACTCGATCTAGGACGTCCAAAACATTAAACCAAATCGCAATGTTATACAGAAATCAGTTATACGTGTCCTAGCTAATTTCGATGGTTTGGATTTTTGCTAGTGTACGCGAAAACTCTCGAAGGGAGTTACCGATTACATTCAAACTTTGCACATCGTAACAGTTCTGCCGAATTTATATCAAGTTCGAAGATACAGAATATCGGATTGAGTCTAGTTAAAATCGATTTTATTTTCAGGCACATATAGTTTGTTAGGTATCGTGACGTCAATTCATGGTCCAGTATGTCTGTCTAGGCAGCTACTTCTGCTCTGCTGCTTTCAATGGCGGATGATCTCCGAGTATATCTTTCAGATGGTATTGTTCTTCTTCCTTGGCGTCTGAATCTGGCAAGCCTGGATAGCATTCAAGATCATGGAAACCTTTCTGTTGACGTGTCTGGGCGGGAGAAGCCTCTCCATAAGGCTATGGCTAGAGTGTTCCCGAGATAACACCTATGCTGGTATTGCATTCACAACATTTGATTGTGCCGATGGAGGGTATGATCTTCATCTCTTCATAAAGATGTCATTAGGAGGCACCCTGTTGCAGTTCTCAGGGCGGCATTCGCTGGCAGTTCTGAAAATTATTATTTTACATTGTATTGCTTATATTTGCCAACCACACTGTCGTCGCATAGGTAATCACTAATCGGTAGAATGATTTACCCAGATGTCAACAAGGTCACCCCAAGTGTGAACATCTTAGGGACCTTGTTCCTACTTCTCAGATTATTGCAAATAACGGTGGATTTCGCAGATGACTTGAAAAAGTTGTCGAATGTTAAAGCCATTATCTTGGTGTAGTTGGTGCTAAGAAGCTACTCTCCATCGACCAGCATGCGGGAGTTTCATTTTAGTCGTCGAATGTCATATTCCTCAGATGGAGGAAACTTACAAAATCAGCTATGTAGGGTCGACTTCCGTTTGTTGTGGAATATCATAATTGTTTCACTCGCCTTTCTGCTTCCAAATTACACAGATGACTGACGACCATACATATAGTTGATTATTGAACCTTTCCAACACGACCGGACGTTGGTCTTCTCGATATCCTCGAATAGTTTTGCATGATTGACGGCCTTCCATAGCTTTAGGACCACCATGACTGTTTGGTTACAGGGTCTTTTCTTTTAAAGTTCTCTCTTCTACTCTTGTAGTACTTATTTCCAAAACTAATTCCAATTTTCGATTCGAGCTCTATAGGTTCACCCAAATCCAAAAATTACCAAACTTCGTTGCATTTAGTACACATTGATGTAAATTTCCATAACTATCCACCTTAACAATTCAACAGAAATCATATTTTCAAATTGTACCAAATTTAGTACCATTAAGCACCTACACATAAGTACTCATTTCCTAAACATCTAACAAAACTTCTAATGCTGCACTCCAACGATAATTTTAATTTAAAATTTCATGTTTCGAGCTCTTTCGCTCCACCCAAATCCAAATTGTATTAAATTTAGTACCATTTACTATACATAAGTACAAATTTCCATAACTACCTAAATCAGACAATCCAATAAATATCTTATCTCCCAATATCAGGATTCCACGCCAATCGGTTTACCCTAAATCCAAATTGTACCAAATTTAGTGCGATTTAGTACACATAAGTACGAATTTCTAAAACTTTTTTTCAAACCTCAATTCTATACTCCAAGTGTAATATTAAGTCCAAATATTTGTTTCAGCTTTGATATAATTTGGATTTAGGTTAACCTATATACCTAAATCCATATTATATCAAATTTAGTACTTTTCGTACATATAACACCCTAACAGTGATCCTCACTCTAAATTTCAAGATTCCAACTCTATTGGTTCAAATTGTACCAAATTTAGTACACATAAGTACGAATATCACAAACTACCAATATATCTCAATTCTACAATGCAGTTGTAATCTTAGTTTCCAATTTCAGGGTTCCTCTGCTCTGTCGTTTCACCCAAAATGCAAATTGTACCAAATATCGTACCATTTTGTACTTTTCGTATACATAACAAGATTTCTTTTTTTTAAATTAGCTACATATCTCAATTCTACTCGCCGACGATATTATTAATTTTAAATTTCAGGATTCATCCAAATTCGAATTCGGTTTACCCTAAATCCAAATTGTACCAAATTTAGTACCATTTAGTACACATAAGTACGAATTTCTAAAACTATTTTTTAAACCTCAATTCTATACTCCAAGTGTAATATTAATTCCAAATATTTGTTTCAGCTATATAAGTTCACCTAAATCCAAAATGTACCAAATTTAGTACTGTTTGGTACTTTTCGTATACCTGTGTACACACTTCCAAAACCAACTCCTTTGATAGACCTTATTTATCAACCTTGATTCGCATTTCGCATTTTTACCTCTATCCGTTCCCATGCTACAAAAGTGTACCAAATTTAGTACCTAACATATTTTTCTAAAAATTGAGTTTTAAAAGAAATATTTTTTTCTAGAGTATAATTTTTTTTATTTTGGATATTTTTATAATTTTTTTCTAAGTGTGGCCTTTTTAAAATAATTTTACATGGTGGATTTTATAAAGTATTTTTAATGATTTTTTTTAAATATTTTTTTCACAATTATTTTGAATTATTCAATGGAGGTTGTTGAGCTTCTCAAAATTTGTTAGTCTATTTGAAGACTATTTTTAAAATTTACCACTGCTTAATATCGCTTGAATTGTTTTTTTCTGAATCTTCTGTTCCTAAAATCATTAAAAGTACCTATTTTTTTAATTTTATTTTGAAACACACACACACATTTACCATCACTGATACACATTTGACAAGTGCAATTTTTTAAAAAAACAACAACAATAACAATTTTCTATTTTCTGGGAAATTAATTCTACTTACCTTTGAAATATGAAACATCAGGATAACTCTCTAATGGTAGGCCCCAGCGTGGTGCTGATGGAGTTTCAGAACGGGCTCTAGGCATAACCTACGGAAATCGTAGGCATTGTAGTTTTTGTTGTTGTTGTAATTTTTGGTCGTACAGATTTCGCCGTGTTGAAAAAGATGGTTGGACGGGAAATAGAATTCGTGATTATTTTTCACAACAACAATAATAATAAAAATATTTGTTTCTATTTTTTGTTTTTCTCGTTTATATATATAAATAAATAACTTTATATAGTTTTATATGTATTAATTAATAATTAATATTTCATGTCATTATTATTATTATTTTATGTTATATAAGAAAAAAATGTTATTTAATGAAAATTAAAAGTATTTGTAATAAAAATAAAATAGAATCAGATTTTGACTGAAGCAAGATATTCAAATCTCTGTTATGATGTGGCAAGTTCAAGAGGTCAGATAAAAATTAAGAGCTATGCAGGTTTGGTTCTTGGTGTTATTTTTTTTTTGTGGGAACACAACTAAAGCAAAAAAATAAGTAGTGACGAAGCGAAGTGGCACACAGTAAGGCTTAATCTTTCTTTTTGGGTGTCTTAATCTATAAGAAGAAGAAGAGAGAGAGAGAGAGAAAAGCAAAGCCAAAAGGGTTAATTTTGCATTTTTTCTTTAAATTTGACACTGAGGACAGCACTGCCAACAAACATCGGGACATCACTAGAAAAGACCTGGACCACAACAAATTCGACACATTTTTTTTGAAGATTTTAGAACTTGGACTTACATCAACTGTAACAAATATTCTGTCAGTGCCATTATTATTACGGGCCACAACGAAATAGGTGCCCGAATCGGAAATCTGTGATTTTTGTACGGTGAAACGGGTATAGTCATCGGAAACTTCTTTGCTGACGCGATCGGATTTGGTGATGTCTTTGGTGCCCTTCATGAAAGTCACTGAAAAGAGAAGAAGCAGAAGAATACATAAATTATTATTTATTTTAATAAAAAAAAATATTTTTTGAAGTTTCCACAAAAGGCGTGAATTTAAAAAAAAAAATATATATTTTTAATTTTTTCAAGGCCTACCAAAGGCGTGGATTTTTTTAAAGAAGATTTTTTCAAGGCGTGGATTTTTTAAGAAGATTTTTTCAAGGCGTGGATTTTTTAAGAAGATTTTTTCAAGGCGTGGATTTTTTAAAGAAATATTTTTTCAAGGCGCGGATTTTTTAAAGAAATATTGTTTCAAGGCGCGGATTTTTTCAAGAAATATTTTTTCAAGGCGCGGATTTTTTCAAGGCGTGGATTTTTTAAAGAATAATTTTTTCAAGTCGTGGATTTTTTAAAGAAGATTTTTTCAAGGCGTGGATTTTTTTAAAGAAGATTTTTTCAAGGCGTTGTTTTTTTAAAAAAAAGAAGATTTTTTCAAGGCGTTTTTTTTTTAAAAAAGAAGATTTTTTCAAGGCGTGGATTTTTTAAAGAAGATTTTTTCAAGTCATGGATTTTTTAAAGAAGATTTTTTCAAGTCATGGATTTTTTAAAGAAGATTTTTTCAAGGCGTTGTTTTTTTAAAAAAAAAGAAGATTTTTTCAAGGCGTTGTTTTTTTAAAAAAAAGAAGATTTTTTCAAGGCGTGGATTTTTTAAAGAATACTTTTTCAAGTCGTGGATTTTTTAAAGAATATTTTTTCAAGGCGTGGATTTTTTAAAAGAAGATTTTTTCAAGGCGTTGTTTTTTTAAAAAAAAGAAGATTTTTTCAACGCGTGGATTTTTTAAAGAATATTTTTTCAAGGCGTGGATTTTTTAAAAAAATATTTTTTCAAGGCGTGGATTTTTTTAAAGATTTTTTCAAGGCATGGATTTTTTAAAGAAATATTTTTTCAAGACTATGGATGGTTTTTAAAGAAATATTTTTCTAAGGTTATATTTTTTCAAGTCGTGGATTTTTTAAAGAATCATTTTTTCAAGGCGTGGATTTAAAAAAAAATATTTTTTCAAGGCGTGGATTTTTTAAAGAAATATTTTTTCAAGGCGTGGATTTTTTAAAGAAATATTTTTTCAAGGCGTGGATTTTTTAAAGAAATATTTTTTCAAGGCGTGGATTTTTTAAAGAAATATTTTTTCAAGGCGTGGATTTTTTAAAGAAATATTTTTTCAAGGCGTGGATTTAAAAAAAAAATTAAGGCGTGAATTTTTTAAAAAATATTTTTTCAAGGTGCAGATTTTTTAAAAAAATATTTTTTTAAGGTGTGGATTTTTTAAAAAAATATTTTTTCAAGGCGTGGATTTAAAAAAAAAATTAAGGCGTGGAGTTTTTAAAAATATTTTTTGAAGGCGTGGTTTTTTTAAAAATATTTTTTTAAGGTGTGGATTTTTTAAAAAAATATTTTTTCAGGGCGTGGATTTAAAAAAAAACTTAAGGCGTGAATTTTTTAAAAAATATTTTTTCAGGGCGTGGATTTAAAAAAAAACTTAAGGCGTGAATTTTTTAAAAAATATTTGTTTCAAGGCGTGGATTTTTTTAAAAATATTTTTTCAAGGTGTGGATTTTTTAAAAAAATATTTTTTCAAGGTGTGGATTTTTTAAAAAAATATTTTTTCAAGGTGTGGATTTTTTAAAAAAATATTTTTTCAAGGCTTGGATTTTTTAAAGAAATATTTTTTCATGGAGTGGATTTAAAAAAAAAAATATTTTTTCAAGGAGTGGATTTTAAAAAAATATATTTTTTCAAGGCGTGGATCTTTTAAAGAAATATTTTGTCAAGGAGTGGATTTAAAAAAAAATATATTTTTTGAAGACTTGGACTTTTATAAAAAATATTTTTTTAAGGCGTGGATTTAAAAAAAAAATCCTTTTCCAAGGCGTGGATTTTTAAAAAAATATTTTTTGAAGGCATGGATTTTTTTACAATATATATTTTTTTCAAGGCGAGGACTTTAAACAAAAAATTGAAGGCGTGGATTTAAAAAAAAATTAAAGGCGCGGATTAAAAAAAATAAAGGCGCGGATTTAAAAAAAAAATTGAAAAAAATATATTTTTTTCAAGGCGTGGATCTTTTAAAGAAATATTTTTTCAAGGCGCGGATTTAAAAAAAAAATAGTTTTTCAAGGCGTGGATTTTTTTAAAAAAAATATTTTTTCAAGGCGTGGATTTTAAAAAAAAAATATTTTTTCAAGGTGTCCATTTTTTACATTTTTCAAGGCGTGGATTTTTTAAAACATAAAAAAAAAAATATTTTTCAAGGACGAGGACTTTAAAAACAAAAAATTGAAGGCGTGGATTTAAAAAAAATAAAGGCGCGGATTTAGAAAAAAAAATAAAGGCGCGGATTAAAAAAAAAAAAAATGAAGGCGTGGATTTAAAAAAAATAAAGGCGCGGATTAAAAAAAAAAAAATAAAGGCGCGGATTTAAAAAAAATTGAAGGCGCGGATTTTTAAAAAAAAATATTTTTAAGGCGTGATTTTTTAAAAAATATTTTTTTAAGGCGTGATTTTTTGAAAAATATTTCAATACTTACACTTTGGTTTTGGATCTCCAGCAATTCTAAACGAAATCGAGAAGGGATCTCCGACAGCAATTTTCATTTCCGTTTCAGGCCTGGACAAAAACAGAGGTGGTCTTTCATCTTTCTCCACTCCGATGGCCACATCCACGGTGGCATGTGATTCAATGCGTCCAAAGGCATTTTGAGCTCGGCACGTATAGCTACCCTCATGTTCGGGACCGGCATTCATAATGGCCAGCGTATAAACACCACGTTCATAGAATGTCTTAACACCCGGCTGACCGGCCAACGATTGACGTTGACGGAACCATTGTACCTCAATGGGTGTGGCGGTTTGCATAAATTCGGCAGTGATGGCAATGGTACCACCACCACATACCACCTGGTTACCCAATGGACTAACCAAATGGGGCTTGTTGGGATCACGATGATAGAAACCTAATGTTTGATCGAGAGCGTATTTCTCACGGCCTCTGAAATCGACTTGATGGGTAATCTTGGTTTCGGCACCCTCATTACGGGCAACACAGCCATACAGGCCGGCATCCTTCTCCGTCGGGTTGTGTACAATCAACTTCGATTGGCCATCATCGGCATCGATTTGGGTATATTTTTCGCCGGGTATTAAAATCTCAGTACCCTTTAGCCATTGTACTTCGGGACGTGGTTTACCGCGGACACGGCATTCCAATACCAACTCATTTTCTGTCAGAGAATAAGTGTCTGTTGTGGCGGGGGATGATGAAGGGCGTGGGGGAGAGAAGAGAGAGCATTATTAGTTGTTGTTTTTTTTTACAGAACTTCGAAGAGGTTTTGGTGTGGCTAAGTTATATTTCTTATGGGATTTTTAAAAAAAAAATATTTTTTTAAGGGCGTGGATTTTTAAAAAATTATTTTTCAAATTTACCCTGCTTAGCCACACCAAAAAAAGTTATATAAAAAATAATTGCACAGTGGGACGAATCAAAACAAGACATTGCTTTTCATACAGTTGACATACAACTACAACAACACAAAACATGTGTGTGTATGTATCTATGTATGTGTGGGTGTGAAGTGTATTGATTTGTGATGTATGAATTTTGATTCCCATCGGAGCAATGCTTTTCTTCCGAACTTCGTAGAACCTAAAAATCAGATTTTTCCCAAAATTTTCGCATAAATACCTCTGATCGATTGTACAAACGTGGCGGGTTGGGGTGCATTCTCATACTGCTTATAGATACGAATGTTGCTCTGAGTCACCGAGTCGCCATAATCGTTGAGAGCACGACACATATATTGACCGCTATCCTGTTCTTCGGCAGCAACAATTTCCAATATCGCTTCCCCGTTGTGGAATGTTGTGTGGTAGCGATTATCATTCGGTAGAGCGCGGCCATTTTTCGTCCATTCCACACTCGTTTGGCCATCATAGACAATGCTGCAGGTGAGTCGCAGATTACCACCTTCCGCCATGGTGCGATCATGAAGCAAAGAACTGAACAAGGGTTTACGGCCCGCGGCAATACTTCGGCCCAGAGATTTTCGTCCCGAGAAGGGGCCAATTTGTTCTTCCACTTCTTCTTCCCTTAAGCCGGCGGAGGAGCTTGGGATTTGTTGCGACTTTTGTGTTCCGAACCCGTTCATTTCCTGTTCCGCCGCAGCAGCCATCAACTTCTTGAGATCATTAATACGTATGACCTTTGTTATGGCCTCAATGCGTTCATTCGTTTCAGCAAAGCAGGAGAACGTGCCACAGTCCGAGGGTATGGGATTGCGTATGATGAGTTTACTCACACCTCCAAGTTCCTCCAGGACGCGATAACGATTATTGGAAATGGTGTGATCATCACGAATCCAGGTTATACTGGGACGGCCATGTACCATACAGGAGAGTATTATTTCACAGCGATCCGCATCAAAGGTGGCTGGAATTTTTTTATTAAAATACATATTTTTGTAAGTTCGGATGTTATGATCGCGAAGTGATGGGTTCTCCAATTTCTAGATCAATCTTACCTGTCACCGGGCTACAGAAGCTAGAGGGTAACTTGTCCGTGGCATTATCGTAAATGCTGAGATCACATTCACACTCCACGGTGTTGCGACTATTTTTCACCACACACTTATAGCGGGCGCTATCATCCGGTCGGGCATCATAGATTTCCAAACTTAAAGCACCATTTATATTGTAGATTTTGTGTCGGGAATCCTTGGTTACGCGCTCGTTACCCCTCAGCCAATAGACATCCTCAATGAATCCGCTAACATAACAAATCAATTGGGCCTTGGTGCCCGATGCCATAACCATGGGCTTCATGGGTGTCTCGACACTCAATTTGAACTTGGCATCCATGGTGCGTAACTTCCTTTCCTGGCGCTCCTCTATTTTCTCTTCAATGGTTTTATCGGATTTTTCTAACGACATCATCATATCGCCAGGTTCCCGAGGAGCCACTCTCACCTCGCTCTGAAGTTTGCTGGTCTGATAATCACTGACATCGACGAATTTACTGATTTTCATTTGGCCACTTTCACTTTCGGCGTAACAAGTATAGAGTCCTCTATCTCCGGATTCAGGTCTCTCGATAATCAATTGGGTTATGCCATCCTGCAGATCGGCATATTTATATTTCTCACTTTCGGCAGGGAGGCGGGAATTATCCTTTTGCCAATATACCGAAGGTTTGGGGTTACCCGAAACCTTGCATTCCAGCGTAAGGCGATTTTCATGACTATGATATGCATCTGTGAGAGCACATGACAGAGAGACAAACAAGACAAAGAGAGAGAGAGAGAGTACATAAAAACAAATGAGTGCCAAAATGAGAAGTGAGAGAGAGAACAAAAACTAAATGAGAGCAGTTTTGTGTTAAGCCGAGCTCTATTTAATAAAGAGAGCGAAAAGTAAAAAATGCGAGACTACATACCTTCAAACAGATCACTGGACACACGCACACACACGAGAGTTCGGACACTCAAGACTTCTTAAATCTAAAAAAATCTCAACCACCTACCTTTAATGCCTTTGGTAAAAACGGGTGCAATTACCTCTTCCTTGCCCGTCGAATAGACAAACAAATTGCACGACGAGACAATTTCATTTTCCGAACCCTTAACCTTCAGGGTATAGGTACCGCTTTGCTCCTCTGTAACATCAATCAAATTCAACCAGGCAATACCATCCTGCATCGACAGTTTACTCTTGGGTCCAAAGGCAATCGGTTGATCGCCAAAGAACCAGCGAGCAGTTGGATCGGGCCCATCAATGGCCACCATCCATTTGACATTCGTGCCAGCCTTGACGGTACGATTCGATAGGAAATTTCTAAAGTATAGGAATTTCTTAAGGTCTGGTGGTGGACCGGCACCATGTCTACGGCCACCACCACTGCTCTCCTCATCTTCTTCACGTTTCTTTTTCCTTTCGGCTTTCTCCTCCTCGGTTTCATCGCCTTGAGGCTTCACGGGTGGTCTATCGCGTCCTGGCGAAACAGGTCTACGCACCTTAGGTTTCACCGTGACCATGTGGGTAATTTCCGCTGTACCTTCACGATTCTCTGCCTGGCAAACATATTTACCACTATCCTGTGGAGTGGGATCCATAATGAACAGCTCACAGGTACCATCTTCATGTTCTGTGGTCTGATACTTGTCATTGGGTTCAATGACCACACCATCCTTCACCCAGGTAATGGTGGGTGTGGGCAGACCGCGTACATGGACATCCAATTGCAATTCATGCAGCTTGCCATGATAGGTGTCCTTAATGTTACGGGTAAAGGTGGGTGGGGTATCGCCGGATCCAGGATCGGAATAAACTTCCAAACGACAGAAGGTCGATGCCTCACCGGTTTCATCACGGGCCCAACATTTATATTCACCAGCATCTTCCAAAGTGGCCGCCGGGATTTCCAAAATACACAGACCCTCATTGTAGCGGCCACGACACTTGGGTGAATTCTGCAATGGTTCACCATTCTTGAACCATTTCACTTGAGGTTCCTTGGACTCCAAGAAGCAGGAAATCTTTACTTTCGAACCCTCGGCAACCACACGATCTTTCATGTTTGTGGGGAAATAGATACCAATCACCTTTTCACGTTTCTTCAGCGATCCGGTTTCCGAGGCCACATCCGAGACATAAATCGATGCCGAAGCCGCTTCTGCCTCCGATTCATCATCCTTGCGTGGCTTGCGTACCTTCTTCTTACCCTTACTATCCGTCTCACTGTCGCTGGCATCAGCCGCAGAGGCTGGAGCCGCCTTGGGTTTCTCTTCCTCCACCTGTTTCGGTTTCAGCAAGCTCTTATCGGCATGGAAGACACCATGGATATTGTCGGCAATGTGATGTTCCTTGCCCTCGAAGGCAACCAAATGGGTAATCTCCGCCTTGCCAGCACTATTCTCGGCACGAACGATGTATTTGCCCTTATCCTTGGGATTGGGGCAATCGATAACCAATTCCAGAGTACCATCGGCATGATGGAACTTGTGAATGCGTCCACCCTCCTCAATGTCGATATTATCCTTGAGCCATTGAATAGTGGGTGTGGGTTCACCGCGAACACCGGTTTCCAAAATCAATTCATTGGTGTTCAAGTGATAGGTTTCTGTTCGGCGAAGAGAGAGGGGAAGCAGGAGAGAGACAGAGCGTAAAATAGAGAACGAAAGAGAGTGACTCATTAGATTTTGGATCAAGAGATGACACAAACGCACACTCAAAGTTCAAGACAAACACAGGAAAAATCGTTAACAATTAAGTGGTGATATAACGAAGATAATTTATCTAAATATGGCTTAGATAAATTATCTAAGAGGGCCAAAGGAAACATAGATATCAACTGAGATTCAAAAATAAGTCAGCTACTAAATAAAATCCGTTATTTGAATTATCAAAGATAGATAAAAAATTATCTAAACAATTTATCTATGTTATCTGAAGGTCCATAATGTTTTATTTATGTCATATATAGTTATTAGATAATACATATATTAAGAAATATATATCAGATAAAATTTCTATGTTATCTAAAAATCATAGATAAATTATCTATGTGAAATATCTACCATTCAGATGCATTATCTTCATTATCTAAATGTCATTAACAGAGTATCTATGTTGTTTTAAATATTCAAACACTTATCTACACATTATCTAATTTAATATATCTATATTTTCAGATTGTCCTTATACGGCAGATAAATTATCTATGTCATGGCAAAATTTTAGGTAAGTTATACATAATTTTCAGATAAGTTATCTATGCCTTATCTACACATTATCTACAATCAATAGATAAATCTTATAACTAATTTACTTCTTTAGAAAATATTTCCTGAGCATCATAATAATTTAGATAAATTATCTACACTTATGCAATTATCTATTAATTTAGTAAAGACTAAATTATCTATGTTATCCTAACATTTTAGATAAGTTAGCTCACTCTACAGTCAATATTATCTTGTTCTCAAAACACAATTTTGAAATTAGCCTAAAACTTTAGATAAATTATCTATGTCATCCTGAAGCTTATCTACACATTATTTACAATTAATATTTATAAATTTATATAATCTACTTTGTACTTTCAGAGTAAAAGTTTCAGATAAATTATCTTGTTATTCAAACAGTTTAGATAAGACTATGCATTATCTGAAATTAATAGATAACACTTTTTTACACTTATCTACCAATTTAGTGAATAGAACATCAGATAAATTATCTATCCATTTACAATGCACAATCAATAGATTATCTACTCTTCAAAAACTATTTTGAGGTTGTCCTCATGCTTTAGATAAATTATCTATGCCATCATAAAGTTTATCTATACCTTTTTTATAATCAATAGATAATATCTTTTTGCATTATCTACTTCTTTAGAAAAACATTTTCAGAGTACGCTTTCTCCTTCAGATAAATTGTCCATGTTAAACTAATATCCTGATACTTTAGATGAATTATCTATATTATCCTAAAGCTTCTATACACATTATCTATAGTCAAAAGATACCACATGTTTTATTATCTACTTCTTTAGAAAATACTTCCAGAGTATTCTTATGCTTCAGATAAATTATCTTTGTTATCCAAACAATACAGATAACACATATCTAGGCATTATCTGCCATCAATGGATAACACTTTTTTTACACTTATCTACCAATTCAGTAAATAAAACATCAGATAAATTATATATCTATGTACAATGTACACTCAATAGCTTATCTACTTTTTAAAAATTATTTTGAGGTTGTCCTCATGCTTTAGATAAATTATCTATGCCATCATAAAGTTTATCTATACATTTTCTATAATCAATAGATAACACCTTTTTATATCATCTACTTCATAAAGAAAAAAATTTCAGAGTATGTTTTCCCCTTCAGATAAATTGTCCTAATATCCTGATACTTAAGATAAATTATCTACATCATACTAAAGCTTCTATACACGTTATCTATAGTCAATAGATGGCACCTTTATATTATCTACTTCTTTAGAAAATATTTTCACAGTATCCTGATACTTCAGATAAATTACCTATGTTATTCTAACATTTCAGATAAGTTATCCACAATTTTCAGATAATTTATCTGTGCTACCCCAACTTATCAAAATAAACAAATAACACTTCGAAATTATCTACTTCTTTAGAAAATACACTTACAGATAACAGTAGATAAATTATCTTTGTCATCCTAACAATTTAGATAATTTATCCGTGTTATCCAAATTGGTTAAATAAATTATCTACCTGTTTGTAATAATTCAGAAATCTTATCAGCATTTTTTCCTTATCTAGATACAATATGATACGGATTATCTAAAGATAAAATTGATTATCTAGATAAATTATCTACCTTATCCACAAAATTGATCATTAATAAAAAATAAATAAATATTTGAACTAAAATCAAATAACACAATTTATCTAAAAACTTTAGATAAATTATCTCCGTTATCTAAAGCACAACATTTAAAGGAGTGTTCAACTTATCCGAGCGGGGAAGTAGGAAGTTCCTATTGCAGGTCAATCACCTAAACAAGAACTGACGAAGATTCCGAAGATCACAATCAAAGTTTTGGACTACCGAAATAATCATCGCTCTCATAAAATTTCGGCAGGGTAATTGACCCTCTGTACGTTCGGCAGGGTACTAGACACTCTATCTAGGTTAAGGAGTGCACAACTTATCCGAATGGGAAGTAGGAAGTTCCTATTGCAGGTCAATCACCTAAACAAGAACCGACGATGATCCCGAAGATCACAATCAAAGTTTTGGACTACCGAAATAATCATCGCTCTCATAAAAGTTCAGTAGGGTGATTGACCCTCTGTACGTTCGGCAGGGTACTAGGCCCTCTATCTAGGTTCCGAAATTTTTTTAATCTAAAAAATTTTCTACTTCGAAACGGTGTACTTTTCTTATTTGGCAAATGCAATAAAAACTAATTGTTGTTGTGATTTTTTCACCTTGTGGTTGTTGTTCTCAAGATGAACGAACCTGCAGTCGGATTTTTTTCAATTGCATTTTTTCTTCCCTCTACTCGGATTACATAAGTTTCTTTGTTTCGTTTATAGTGTTGCACAATCTCCTTTAGATTCTTTTTAACAAAAAATATACCCTCCTTCCCCTTCCATAAAACTTAGTATTGCCTTACCTTTAACGGGACGCACAAATACCGGTTCCGTTTCACTTCCTGTTGTCGGCGAGTACACATACAACTTCGCCGTCTGTGTGATCTTACAGTATTCATTCTGGGCGGTTAGGGTATAGGTACCCGAATCCTCCGGCTGACAATTCAAGAATTCCAACGAAGCCAAGCTATCACGATTCATATTGCGAATACGTGGTCCATACTGGACATTCTGGTCATCTTTGGTCCATTTACATGTCGGGTTGGGTCCATTGACCACAGCCTGTAGCTTAACCTTGGAACCGACGGCAACATAACGATTCGAAATGTTAGCATCGAAATACAACATCGATCTTGGTGGTGGTTCAGGCATACGGCTGCGACGCTCATACGTGCCGCTACCCTCTTCATCTTTGCTCGATTTGGGCAAGCGTTGGGGACGCTCCTTCTTGCCACCCTGGCTGTCGGCTTCGGACATGGCACCGGACAAAACACTCGAACGTCTGGAACTGTGCTGGATATCGACAACGACACTGTGAGAGGTTTGCTGCGAGCCCAATTTGTTGGTGGCAATACAGGTGTAGTTTCCGCTGTCCGCCGGTGTGGGCTTGTTAATGATTAGCTCGCAAATGCCATCCAAATGTTCGATCTGTACGACGCGATCGTCGAGCACAACGGGCAGTTGGTCTTTGGTCCATGTAATGACGGGACGTGGGTTGCCGCGGATTTTCGTGTCGAGAATCAGATCGTTTTGTGAAGAGTGATAGACATCTGAGGAAGCGAACGAGTGAGAGAGAGTGCAGAAAAGAGAGCGAGAGAGAGTGATCAATAGATAAATTTAAACTCAATTTCCCAGGCCAAAAATCGAACTATTTTTGGCCATCAAACAAATCGGAACGACAACGCTATGTAAAGATGAAAGACATCCAACAACAAAAAAATGGACACAGCCACGAAGATCATTTGATACACCTTCCGAAAACAAAGCGAACACGAAGTGAACGACAATAACACAAAGTGATTGATCCGACATCTGATTGATCTATCGATCGCTTGATCGCAACATTTGATGATAACAATGAAAATTCGAACACAAACACCGCACACACACACCAACCTACCTCGAAGTGGCAAGGCAAAAATCGGTTCATGCTCATCGCCATCCGTCTTGGCCGAATACACCTTAAAGTAGCACGAGGTGTCAATTTCACTGTAATCGTTGCGTGCCACACACTTGTAAACACCCGACGAATCGCTCGTCACATTTTGCAGCTCAATAATGGCCTTTCCTTCTTCGCTAAGGTTCTTGACCGTTTCGCTATACTTCACCCATTCGTCATCCTTCATCCAGCGGCAATTGGGCGAGGGACCAATGACGGTACAGACAAACCTCACCGTGGTACCCTCCAGGGCCATGCGATCTCTCAATTGGGTGGCAAATTGCAATTTCTGCTTAGCCGCCACCAAGGGTTCAGGTGAGGCACGTGGAGCTCGAGATCTAGCCTCTGCTGCTGCTTCGGCACGACGACGATCTGAATCGCCCTTCGATTTCATGGCTTCTTCCATGGCCTTGCGGGCCTCCTCTTCCTTTACCTTGCTCAAACGACCGCGAGCATGGAAAATACCCGGAATATGATAATGCAGATTCTTACCCACCTCAATCGAGTGGGTAATCTGAGCTTCACCACTGGAGTTAATGGCCTTGCAGAGATAGGCACCGCTATCGCGATTATTCGGTTTGTAGATCAACAGCTTGTAGACGCCATGGGCCTCTTCCAATTTGGTGAACTTAACATTGGGTTTGATTTCAAACATGCCACGCCACCAGGTGACCACAGGGCGGGGTACACCATGGATGTGCACCTCGATGGTCAATTCATCGTCACGCAAGTGGTAGTATTCTGGAGGGGGCGTGAATGGATAAGAATTAATCTTTGGAATCCTTAAAAAGTCCTAATAGGAGGCTTACAAAAATTCAAAGCCGTTTACAATGAGGTTCTTGGTCCTTGCAACATATGAAAATGAGGTGAGGCACCATCGAAAAATATTTCAATGTAATTTCAAACATTTCAAATATTTTTTTTTCATTAAAAAAAAAACTACAAAAAATGTTGTTGCAACATGGAAATGGATGTGCAACATTGGACTACGTTGATGCAACATGACCAAAAATTTATTGAACTGGTTTTTTGATCAATTTCAAAAATCTGTTTATTGAAAAAACCATCAAAAATGTTGTTGCAACATGGAAAATGTATGTGCAACATTGGGTTATGTTGATGCAACATAGAAAAAAATTATTTAACGTTGATTAAAGTTGGCGTCCACATGTTAATATGTTAAAAAGTTACAAAAAAGTTTGTTGCAACAAGGAAAATATGTGTGCAACATTTGGTTATGTTGATGCAACATTCAAAAAAATTATTAAATTGGTTTTTTTTTCATCAATTTCAAAAATCTGCTCATTGAAAAAAAACATCAAAAAATGTTGTTGCAACATAAAAAATATATGTGCAACATTGAGCTATGTTGATGCAACATGAAAAAAAAATTATTGAATTGTGTTTTATTGTTCAATTTCAAATATCTGTTAATTGAAAAAAAAACATCAAAAATGTTTTTGCAACATGGCAAATGTATGTGCCACATTGAGTTATGTTGATGCAACATAGGAAAAAAATTATTAAATGTTGATTAAAAGTGTTTAGAATGTTGTTTAAACATAAACAAAACTACATTGCAACATGAAAACTGTTGCAGCAACATGGATATATGTTGATGCAACATGACCAAAAATTATTTGAATTGCAATTAAATTTTAAACATTTCAGATTTTTTTTCCAAAATCGTCAAAAAATATTCTTGCAACATGGTAAATGTATGTGCAACATTAGGTTACGTTACTGCAACAGGACTCAAAATGATTAAATATCGAATAAAGTCGTTTGAAAAGTTTTTAAAACATAAAAAAAACACAATTGCAACATGGGAAATGAAGTTGCAACATTCATATATGTTGATGCAACATGGCAAAAAATTGATTTATCTTAAAAAGATAACTTATTCAAAATTGAAAGAAGTGAATTTTTAATCGACATTTCAATTGCAATACTTGCAACATGGTAAATGTATGTGCAACATTGAGTTTCGATGAAGCAAAATTAATTGAGCAACAATTTAAGTTGTTAATATGTTTATTAAACATCAAAAAATACTATTGCAACATTATAAATGTTGCTGCAACATTCGTTATGTTGATGCAACATGTGTAAATTTTTTTTATTTAACGGATTTTTAGTTTTAAATGAGAAAATGTGGATTGGATGTTAACAATTCACTACCAACATTTCAAAATGTTGCAGCAACATGTAAATATATGACTGCAACATTCTAAATTGTCATCGCAACATGATGGAAATTTAACATTTTTGTTGTCGTACCGATATAAATTAAATGTTTATTTTAATTACAATGTTTACTACTGGAAAAACATCTTGCAACATGTAGAAATGTTGTTGCAACATTGGAAAAATGTAAAAAAATTTTTGTTTTTTATCAAGAAAATAATTATTAAATGCAAATACCAAGAGATACATTTAAAAAATGCATCTTGCAACATGTAGAAATGTTGTTGCCACATTGGCAAATATTTATAAAACCCTTTTGTTTATCGTTTTTATGTCGCATATGTTGATATAATGTTTTCAAAGAACTTGCAACATCAATAAATCTTCTTGCAACATGTAAAAATAGTATTGCAACATGTTTGAAAATTTAAAAAAAAATATTTTTATATCAACAACAAATATTTGTTAACTTCAAATATAAAGACAAACATTGCAATATGTTGTTGCAACATGTAAAAATGTGGTTGCAACATTGGAAATCATTGATATTAAATTCATAATTTTGCTATTTATATGAAAAAAAACAAAAGTTATAGTAAATTTATTGTGCAACATGGAAACCCCAGTTGCAACATGTTGAAATGTTGCTGCAACATTAGAAATATAAAATACTAAGACAATTTTTGTGATTTTTTTAATCAAAACAGTTATATTAAAATAAAATTAAATGTGTAACAATTGAAAATTATGTTGCAACATGTAAAAATGTTGTTGCAACATTAGAGAAAATTCTTACAACATTGAAAATTTTTAGTTTTTATGTTTAAAAGGTTAATATAATTGCTATTAAATGATTTGTAACATTAAAGTCTTCATGCCACATGTTGAAATGTTGCTGCAACATTGGAAGAGTTTTTATTTAACATGACAATTTGTCGATTTTTTAACAGAATATATTGATGTATCAATACAATTTATTCTAAAACAATGAAATATGATCTTGCAACATAGGAAAATGTATATGCAACATAGAAAACGATTAATAAAAATCGAAGAAAATTGTTTCTGTTTTTGAAAAAATGGTGGTGTTTGGTTTACATATTTATTTCAATATTGATAAATGTTATTGCAACATAGATGCACCATTGTGCAACATTGGTAAAATTAATTAAAAACCAACAACAATTAAAAATGTGTATGCAACATTTAAAAATGTTGATGAAATATTAAAAAAAAGTTGATGCAACATTTAATAATGACAATGAAACATTGGAAAAAATTGATGCAACATTTAAAAAAATGTATATGCAACATTTAAAATTGCTGCTGAAACATAGAAATTAGTAATACCTCAATTAAAAATATTTTTTCTAGATCAAAAATTTGCATTGAAAAAAATTCACATCAATATCCTTCATTGTAAACGGATTTGGTTCCGCTGTAAGCATTCCCCTAAAAGTTTTGATTGTGTTCGAACCTACCTCTGACCAATTTAAACGACGGTGGTGCCGGTTGATCTTTAAATACTTCGTAAATGGTCACATAACATGACGATGTGACCTCATCGTTCATATTCGCTATGACACAGGAGTATTCTCCCGAGTCCAAAATCGTTGTATTCACTACTTCTAAAGCTAAAATATTATTATTGTTGATAATGCGATGTGTCGAGTCACGTTCCAGTTGGCGACCATCCTTAAACCATTTAACGGATAGCTCAGGTCCACCGACGGCACAGGCCAAACGGACATTGTGACCAGCCTCGACGGTACGATCGGAAAGGAAAACAATGAAGTGGGGCAGACGTTTCTGCTCACGCATACGTTTCCATTCCTCGTCACGTTGTTTCTCGCTGCGACGCACAGCGATGCTGTATTTACGCAATTGGGTGGCGAATTCTTCACCCTCCTCTTCGGCAATTTGTTTCCAACGTTCCTCGTCGTCGGGATCGGGACGTGTAAAGCCTTCGGATGAACTGCTGCTACGTCTTGTCTCGGTGGGCAATTCGCTGACCTCATCCATTTCTTCGTCTTCGTTTTGTTCCTGCTCCTCGTCGTCTTCGTCGTAACGGGATTCTTCGTAACGTGAGCTACCCTCCTCACCTTCACCGGATTCGCCCTCTTCGCCGCCTTCTTCTTCCTCCTCGGCTTCGGCAGCCTCGGCCTCCTCTTGGGCACGGCGTTCGGCCTCTTCGCGTTCGCGTTCCTCCTCCTCGGCCTTGAGACGCTTTTGACGCTCCTCAAAGGTTTCACCCTTGGGTTTGGCCGCAGCCTTGGCAGCCTCCTCCTCAGCAGCCTTGGCGGCGGCCTTGGCTTGCTCCTCCATTTGCAGGGCCAGTTTGCTCTTCTTTGGTGGAGGCTTGGGACCAGGACCAGCTGGTTGTTGTTGCTTTTCTTCAAACATTTTCTTGTTGGCCTTTGAACCACCACCCGACTCAAGTTTCAAAGTCAACTTGGGACTGGGAGACTTTTCCTTTTTCTCCTTCTTCTTGGGGGCGGCCTTCTTTTTGCCCTTCTTACCCTTTTCGGGTTCGTCGCCTTCATCTAGGTCAAGGCTTTCTTCGCGATCCTCACGCGAACCGCCTTCATCGCCGCCACCTTCGCTTTCTGAGAGGCCAGCCTCGGCGGAGCCTTCCTTGTCGGCCGAACGTCTGGGTTTGCGTTCCTTTTTGGCACCCTTACCCTTCTTCTTGGGTTTCACCTCCTCGACAACGATCTCTTCCTCCTCCTCTTCGTATTCTTCGTACTCTTCAACGACGTAGATAACCTCAACGTTGGAGACGTCCATAACAGCGGCACGATCAATGACGGACATATCAGAGGTTATGTAACGTACAGGTTTCTGGGCCTCCAAAGGTTCGGAAATGTCCATAACGAGGGCACGATCAAAGACGGCGGTGTTACAGGTCAGCAGGGTCTTGAGATCGCGACCCAATTCGAAGGGAGTCTTTTCCTTTTCCTCACGCTTCAGGAAGGGAGTAATGCTGCGCCATGTCGATGGTGTGGCACTACGCCTGGTCATGTAGAGGGTGAAGGGTGTCTGACTGCGTCCACGAATGGGAGTGGCACTACGGCCACGCAGACTTCCCGGAGTCGGGGACTTCAGCTTGCGTTTCTTTTGCGCTGGCACTTGGAGAGTATCCTGGGCTGGTGCTGCCTCTGGCTCCTCTGAGCCACGGGCATCGGCTGCCGCGGTTTCGCCTTCGGTTTCACCCATCCTGTTCGAGGTGGTGGCGGTGGTGTTCGATCGAGACTCTTTAAAAACAAAAAAGGATTATCCGGTCACTGGGAGTGATTCCAAGTTTCTTTTCTTTTTTCTCTCTTTTTTTAAATTATGAAATATTTCGAAAAAATATTGTTCGCTTCGATAGGTAGGCTTCGTAAATAAATTTCTTCCCGGTTTTTATGAATTTTTATTCCCCTCGGCTCTACACTCAACAGACACACACGTTTCGTAAATGGAGAATTTCTTTCAAAGATTTTCTTTTTTTTCTTCTTCTGGGGGAACTTCTTTTTTTTTGGTCAAGAAAAAAAGGACGTAATCGGCGGTGCTCGGTCCGTTCGAGGCGTAGCTAATGACTCGACAGTTCCGAACGAACTGAAACGACCGTACGTTTCGAAAATTGAATTTCAAATGATCAGGCGAATCGATTAATCAATCACTGAGTGATCCACTTGCATTGCTTGCCAAGAAAAAAAACCAAAAACACTTCGAATCGGCGATCTAAATTTACACTTTATTGTCATGGACTTTCGGCAAACGATTTTCTCATCTCATCAAAACAACACCAATCACTGTTCACACTGCTGCGAGGATCCGTGCGATCGCAGACGTGAAGGCAAGCAATTTTATTTACACAGATGCATTCATGCCACACACAGAAGAGTCGTGGTGGTTGGTGGGTGCACCACAAAAAACTTCGCTACGAAATGACCAACCAAACGCAAATAACGATGTAACGGGCAAAGAAAACACGACGATCAGCACTACGAAGGGAAGTTCGTCGAGAAAAAAGACGAAATCACATAACCGATCGTCGCTGGTTTGGATCAACCAATCGATCGATCGATCATGTGCGAAAAAATGAACTTGACCTTCGGCTTCGGGAAAAATAAAATCGTACACACACAGATTCGCCAATCGAAATAATAACAAACAACGAAACAAAAATTCTTGATTTTCACTTTAAATTAATTTCTAAAATTCTTTGCTTACCTTCAGTCCAACGTCCTCCTTGGTATCGGCGGCGGTTTGGAGGGAGGGCAATAAAAATAAGTAACTTACCTTTGGGAATGATTCGTTTTGAGATTTTGTTTTTTTATTTTGCAGAACTAAATGTTTTAGTATGAATTAAAAATAAATTGGCCACCACAGCAAGTGGCAAGTGTGTTAAGCAATTGGCAAGATCGGTTAGTGTGTTACTAATTTCCTATTTGTCTATAAAAATAAATTTATCTCAACTATTTTTAACAAAAAAAAAAAAAAAAACATCGAGAAGAAAAAGAAAAAAACTGAAGATCAAAACAAGCGACAGAATCTCCCAAAGTATGCGGTAGTTTAAATGCATTACAAAATTTGAGGGCTGGGAGGATTGGAAAGATTTCGAGACCTTCAGGGGACATAGGTGAGGAGTGGATTTTTTAAAGAAGATTTTTTCAAGACCTATTCAAGGCGTAGATTTTTTAAAGAATAGGTTTTTAAGGCTTATTCAAGGCATGGATTTTTTAAGGAATAGTTTTTCAAGGCCTATTCAAGGCGTGGATTTTTTAAAGAATAGTTTTTCAAGGCTTATCTAAGGCGTGGATTTTTTAAAGAAGATTTTTTCAAGGCTTATCTAAGGCGTAGATTTTTTAAAGACGATTTTTTCAAGGCCTATTCAAGGCGTGGATTTTTTAAAGAAGATTTTTTCAAGGCCTATTCAATGCGTGGATTTTTTAAAGAAGATTTTTTCAAGGCCTATCCAAGGCGTGGATTTTTTAAAGAATATTTTTTCAAGACCTATTCAAGGCGTGGATTTTTTAAAGAAGATTTTTTCAAGACCTATTCATGGCGTGGATTTTTTAAAGAATATTTTTTCAAGACCTATTCAAGGCGTGGATTTTTTAAAGAAAATTTTTTCAAGGCCTGATCAAGGCGTGGATTTTTTAAAGAATATTTTTTCAAGGCCTGATCAAGGCGTGGATTTTTTAAAGAATATTTTTTCAAGGCCTGATCAAGGCGTGGATTTTTTAAAGAATATTTTTTCAAGGCCTGATCAAGGCGTGGATTTTTTAAAGAATATTTTTTCAAGGCCTGATCAAGGCGTGGATTTTTTAAAGAATATTTGTTCAAGGCCTGGATTTTTTAAAGAATATTTTTTCAAGGCCTGGATTTTTTAAAGAAGATTTTTTTAAGGAAGATTTTTTCAATGTGTGATTTTTTTAAGGAAGATTTTTTCAAGGTGTGAATTTTTTAAGGAAGATTTTTTCGAGACGTGGATATTTTTTAAAAAAGATTTTTTCGAGGCGTGGATATTTTTTCAAAGCCTATCAAAAGGAGTCTCTTAGATAATCCATGTCGCCTATAGAGACTCTCTTCAGAGAATATCTCCAACTAGTCAATAGAGATCTGCATCAGTCCGCCCTCATATAATTCCCTCAGTTAGTCTGTTGAGACTTCCTTCAGATCGTCTATAGAGACTCTCCAGATATTCTATGGAGAATCCCTTCAGATCTTTTATGGAGACTTTCTTCCGGTCGTCTAAAGAGACTCACTTCAGGACATCTACAGAGAATTCCTTCAGGTCGACTATAGAGACTCTCCAGATATTCTATGGAGAAACCCTTCAGATCTTTTATGGAGACTTCAGGTCGACTATAGAGAATCACTTCAGGTCGTCTATAGAGACATTTTGGTACTGAACCCCTTCAGGCAATTTCTCCAACTAGTCAATAGAGATCTGCATCAGTCCGCCCACATATAATTCCATCAGTTAGTCTGTTAAGACTTGCTTCAGGTCGTCTATAGAGACTCTCCAGATATTCTATGGAGAATCCCTTTAGATCTTTTATGGTGACTTTCTTCAGGTCGTCTAAAGAGACTCACTTCAGGTCATCTATGGAGACTTCCTTCAGGTCGACTATAGGGAATCACTTCAGGTCGTCTATAGAGATGTTTTGGTCTACATTTTACGGTATTTTGGGTTCTCGTGGGGTAGTAAATCTTCATACCAAAAATGATCAATATCGGTTTAAGTGCCATAAACGTGGACCGATATAACGTCATCTTTAAAATTTCGATATTTTCGGGAGATTAGGGATGTTCTTCTAACAAATTGGATGTAATATGGTTTTTCAGCCGAATTGGCTGTAATTTGGTATATTAGGTTTTCATCAGGTAGCAAATATTCCGTCCAAAAATTATGAATATCGGTATTTTAAAAAAATGTCATGGTTTTCAAACGAATTGGATCTAATTTGATAATTTGGTGTTCACCCCATGTAACGGTACCTCAAGTTCAAGGTCCTAGCCCAATTTTCCAAGCTAAATATCCGTCTTCTTGGTATTTCATTTTCTTCTGATAGCAATTTTCCCTAACATAGCCTCCATATATGTAAACATTCCGATCGATTTTAGGTATTTGGAAGGGAATAAAAACGTAGGCTCTTATATCCTGAAAAGATGACTTCTGTTGATAGAGGGAGGACCTCTTTTACGCCTTGCTCATAGAAGGAAACTTCATTGACCCATAAAGACCTCATAGAAGAGGTATTTTCAAGGCCAGTACTAAAAGACCTCAGGATATCCTATGAAAATGTATAAGCCTGACCTCTTAGATGTATACTATGTTACGAAGTCCTCCTAAGATACTGTTATTTTTGTAAATATTTTCCACACCTGCCGCACGAAACCTTTCCAATCATCCTCAGCCTTCAAACGTGTTCCGTAGCCATCATCAACAATCATTGACATTGAATCACTTCATTTCCAATAGTCCCGCAAAAAATACTGCCTGTCTGTCCGACCGACCGACTGACATGCATGTAGGGCATCAATGAAATAATTCTTCTTCATTCTCGAACTCAAATAAAAAAAATTACAAAACCACAAATAAAATAAAAACAAAATCGAATCGAAAAAAACTCAAACGTCTGCAAAAAGTGCACGAAGCGGCGAAGCAGCGAAACCACAAATCGATTAACATACCTCTGATATTACGGGTGAATATGGGCGGTGTGCCAAATTTGTTAGTCGGTACATCGTATAGTGTCACGAGGCAGCTAGTTTCCACTTCACCGTTACGATTCGATGCCACACATCTGTAGACGGCCGCATCCTGTTGATCGGCTGATTTAATTTCCAAACACGACAGGCCATCATTTTGGGTGATGCGATATTTGGAGGGCAGCGTTCGTTCATCGATCGGTTGTTTGTCTTTGTACCAACGTATCTCAAGGTCATTGCCCGAAATGCTACAGGTCAATTTGATGTCACTGCCAACGGAGGTATTGCGATTTGTCAGCTTAACATCGACCGTGGGCATACGTTTGGCACTGCGTGCCTCTTTCAGATCAATATATTCATTGAGCTTTTTGGGTTTGGTTTCGGCGAAGTCCAATTCATCCGGTTCGATTCTTCTTCGTGGGAGTCTTGGGGTACTTTCTTCTTCACGAATTTCTTCTTTAGTTGTCTTGGCAGTCTTGGTTATCGTTTGCTCGGCAGTTACTTCTTTGGGTTCGATCTTTTGTACGACTTCCTCCTTTTCTTTTTTCGCTTCCAACTTTGTTTCTTTTTCTTCGGTGGTTTCGGGTTTGGTCTTGGGAGATTTGCGTTTAATTTCCTTCTTTTCTTCGGGTTTCTCATCGATTTTAGCCTCAGTGGCCTCAGGTTTAACTTCAGAGATATCATTTTTAGATTCTTTCTCTTCCGGTTTTTGGGCTTCGGCTTCCTTTTCTTTGGTCTTATCTTTTTTAGGAGATTTGCGTTTAGCCTCCTTCTTTTCGGCCTTGGGTTCTTCGGTCTTCTCAGTCTTTGATGGTTCTTTGTCTTCGGGTTTCTTAGCCTCAACTTCTGTCTTTTCGGTTTCTTTTTCTTTGGATTTCTTAGCTTCGTCTTCGATCTTCTGCTCTTCCACCTTTTTGGGTTTAACTTCGGTTTCCTTTTCTTCAGGCTTCTTAGCTTCGATTTCCTTCTTGTTTTCTTCAGGCTTAGTTTCAGCCTTTTCTTCCGTGGGTTTCTTAGTTTCCTTTTGCTCAGGCTTCATGGCTTCAGCTTCGGGCTTCTTTTCTTCCACCTTAACCTCAGATACTACGGGTTTGGCAACTTCCTTCTCTTCTGTTTTCTTGGCCTCTGTTTCAACCTTCTTCTCTTCCAGCTTTTCAGCCTTCGCTTCAGAAGAATCAGTCTTGGAGGATTTACGTTTAACTTCCTTCTTTTCTGGTTTCGTGGTCTCAGTTTCCTCAGGTTTAACCTCAGACACCTCAGGCTTAGAGGCTTCTTTCTTCACATCCTTTTCTTCTGCCTTCTTGGCTTCGGCTTCGACCTTCTTCTCCTCCACCTTTTCAGCCTTGACTTCAGAAACATCAGCCTTAGAAGATTTACGTTTAACATCCTTCTTTTCCGGCTTCTTGGCCTCAGCTTCCACCTTGCCTTCTTCGATCTTTTCAGGTTTGACTTCAGATACCTCAGACTTGGCAGCTTCTTTCTTCACATCCTTTTCTTCTGCCTTCTTGGTTTCGGCTTCGACCTTCTTCTCCTCCACCTTTTCAGCCTTGACTTCAGAAACATCAGCCTTAGAAGATTTACGTTTAACATCCTTCTTTTCCGGCTTCTTGGCCTCAGCATCCACCTTGCCTTCTTCGATCTTTTCAGGTTTGACCTCAGATACCTCAGGCTTGGCAGCTTCTTTCTTCACATCCTTTTCTTCTGCCTTCTTGGCTTCGGCTTCAACCTTCTTCTCCTCCACCTTTTCAGCCTTGACTTCAGAAACATCAGCCTTGGAGGATTTACGTTTAACATCCTTCTTTTCCGGTTTCTTGGCCTCAGCTTCCACCTTGCCTTCTTCGATATTTTCAGGTTTGACCTCAGATACCTCAGGTTTAGAAGGTTCTTTCTTGGATACCTTCTCATCAGGTTTCTTAGCTTCCACTTCCACCTTCTTCTCTTCCAATTTCTCTGGCTTGACTTCGGAAATTTCAGCCTTGGAGGATTTTCGCTTAACATCTTTCTTTTCGACTTTTTGGGCTTCAGCCTCAACCTTCTTTTCATCCAGCTTTTCGGCCTTAACCTCAGATACTTCTGCCTTGGAGGCTCTGCGTTTAAGATCCTTTTCTTCTGGTTTTTGTGATTTCACTTCCAGTTCCTTTTCTTCAACCTTTTCTGCCCTCACTTCCGATACCTTAGCCTTGGCAGCTTCAGCAGATTTAATCTCTTCCTCCTTGACCTTCTTAGCTTCCACTTCCAAAGCCTTTTGTTCAATCTTTTCAGTGGATATCAGGACCACATTGTTTATCACCGTCTCTACGGATCGACATAACTTCAGCGCATCCTCATAAACATTCAAGGATCGCACCTTCTTCTGGTTCTTATCAATCGAATCGTATTGCCCCAAAGCCAGTGTCTTGACCATTTCCAAATGCGGTTGTATTTGAGGATATTTGTCGTCCAACATATCATCAAACATGACAAACATTTCCATTAAGCTCTTCTGTAATTCGACCATATTCGCCGCGGACTTGGGCATATCCTTATCCCATTTCAGGGCATTGACCACCTTTTGAATGCTTGAGAGTTTGGAATGTAAACCATCTAACTTGGCTTCCCAATATTTATCTGTGACATTGTCCAGCTTCAGTTTTAGGGATTTAATAATACTGTCAATATTTTTGGCATATTCGGTATTAATGGTCTCGATCAATTCCTGATCGTCACCGAACAGACAATCGATGACATCTTCAATTTCGGTGGAGATATTAATCGAGCCATACGAACGCTTGGCGAGTTCTTTTAATTTGTAAATGCATTGACGTTTTTGGGTATTCGTGTGGGATTGCAGAGCATCCTTGAGGGTTTGATTAAGGTCTTGGGTATCCGAAGCACCTGACATTTTCTGCAGAGCAACATCAACTGAAATTTCCAATGGAGATTTAATGTGAGCAACTTCAGCCTTGGCAGCCTCGGGCTTGACTTCCTTCTTCTCAATTTTCTTCGATTCGGCTTCCAGTTTCTTTTCCTCTAACTTCTCTGCCTTAACTTCGGAAACATCAGCCTTGGCAGCCTCAGGCTTAACTTCCTTCTCCGCAACCTTCTTGGCTTCGGCTTCCAGTTTCTTTTTCTCCAACTTCTCTGGCTTGACTTCGGAGACCTCAGCCTTTGCAGTTTCTGCCTTGACTTCCTTCTCCGCAATCTTCTTTGCTTCGGCTTCCAGTTTCTTTTCCTCCAACTTCTCAGACTTGACTTCCGAGACCTCAGCCTTTGCAGTTTCTGCCTTGACTTCCTTCTCCGCAATCTTCTTTGCTTCGGCTTCCATTTTCTTTTCCTCCAACTTCTCCGGCTTGATTTCAGAAACCTCCGCCTTGGATGACTCGGACTTGACTTCCTTCTTATCGGCCTTCTTGGCTTCTGCTTCCAATTTCTTTTCCTCCAAGCTTCTGCCATAACTGCCTTCTTATCAATCTTCTTGGTTTCGGATTCCAACTTCATTTCCTCCAATTTCTCCGGTTTGACTTGGGAAACCTCAGCCTTCGATACCTCAGACTTCACATCCTTCTCCGCCACCTTCTTGGTTTCGGCTTCCAGTTTCTTTTCTTCCAATTTCTCCGGTTTGACTTCGGAAACCTCAGCCTTGGCTGCTTCCGCCTTAACATCCTTCTCCTCAGCCTTCTTAGCTTCAATTTCAAGTTTCGTTTCTTCCACTTCCACCGGAACCATATCCAATATACCTCTCACCACCTTCTCTATGGATTTACACAATTTCGTAATATCCTCATAGACATACAATGTTCGGAGATTCTTTTCGGCATTTTCTATACAATCATATTGACCAAGAGCCAGTTTCTTAACCTCTTCCAATTCCGACTTGAAATCATTCGGTTTTATAGCCAGCATATCATCGAACATGACAAATATATCCATGAGATTCTTTTGTAACTCTACCATATTTACAGAGGATTTTGGAACATCCTTCGTCATCTTCAGGGCAGCGGATACATTTTGAATTGCACTCAGTTTCGAATTGAGACCCTCAAATTCTCCTTGCCATGGCTTAACGAGTATCGAATCCACACGCAATTTCAACGATTTTATACAGCTCTCAATAGCCTGCAGATGCTCTTTATTAACCGATTCAATGAGATCGGTATTATCACCCAACAAAGCATCGATAACGTTATCAATTTCACTGCCATATCGACCATCATAGGTATGAACGATAATTTCGCGTAATCGGAAAATGGATTTGCGTTTTTGCTCATCTGTCACGGATTGTAAGGCTTCATCCAAGGCCTTTTTAAGATCATGATTTTCCTTGGTATTCGGAATCGATTGCAGTACCTTTTCAATGCAACTTTCCACGGTGGATTTAATTTCGGATACCTCAGCCTTGGCGGCGGATGGCTTGACATCCTTTTCTTGAGGTTTCTTGGCTTCTGCTTCCACCTTCTTTTCCTCAGCCTTTTCCGGTTTGACTTCGGAGACCTCAGCCTTGGTGGCCGATGGTTTAGTTTCCTTCTCCTCCGGTTTCTGGGCTTCCGCTTCCACCTTCTTATCTTCTATCTTTTCAGGTTTAACCTCGGAGACCTCAGCCTTGGCAGCGGATGGCTTGACATCCTTCTCCTCATGTTTTTTGGTTTCATGTTCTACCTTCTTTTCGTCTACCTTTTCTGGTTTGACTTCGGATGCCTCAGCCTTGCCACCAGTTGGCTTAACTTCTTTCTCCTCAGGTTTCTTGGATTCGGCTTCCACCTTCTTTTCTTCCGCCTTTTCAGGTTTGACTTCGGAGACCTCAGCCTTGGCTTCGGATGACTTAATTTCCTTCTCCTCGGGCTTCTTTGCTTCTGCTTCCACCTTCTTTTCTTCCGCCTTCTCAGGTTTCACCTCTGAGACCTCAGCCTTGGCCCCAGCTGGCTTAACTTCCTTTTGCTCTGGTTTCTTGGCCTCGGCTTCCACCTTCTTTTCTTCCGCCTTTTCAGGTTTGACTTCGGAGACCTCAGCCTTGGCTTCGGATGACTTAATTTCCTTCTCCTCGGGCTTCTTTGCTTCTGCTTCCACCTTCTTTTCTTCCGCCTTCTCAGGTTTCACCTCTGAGACCTCAGCCTTGGCGCCAGCTGGCTTAACTTCCTTTTGCTCTGGTTTCTTGGCCTCGGCTTCCACCTTCTTTTCTTCCGCCTTTTCAGGTTTGACTTCGGATAACTCAGCCTTGGCTTCGGATGACTTAATTTCCTTCTCCTCAGGCTTCTTGGCTTCTGCTTCCACCTTCTTTTCTTCCGCCTTCTCAGATTTCACCTCTGAGACCGCAGGCTTGGCTGCGGTTAGTTTAACTTCCTTCTCTTCGTGTTTCTTGGCCTCCGCTTCCACCTTTTTTTCCTCAGCCTTTTCAGGTTTGACTTCTGACACCTCAGCCTTGGCGGCGGCTGGTTTAACGTCCTTCTCTTCGGGTTTCTTGGCTTCTGCTTCCACCTTCTTTTCTTCAGCCTTCTCAGGTTTCACCTCGGAGATCTCCGCCTTGGCGACGGCTGGTTTAACATCCTTCTCTTCGGGTTTCTGGGCCTCCGCTTCCACCTTCTTTTCTTCCGCCTTCTCAGGTCTCACCTCTGAGACCTCAGGCTTGGCTGCGGCTGGTTTAACATCCTTCTCTTCGGGTTTCTGGGCCTCCGCTTCCACCTTTTTTTCCTCAGCCTTCTCAGGTTTCACTTCGGACACTTCAGCCTTGACTGCAGTTGGTTTAACTTCCTTCTCTTCGGGTTTCTTGGCCTCAGCATCCACCTTCATTTCTTCTACCTTCTCAGGTTTCACCTCGGATACCTCAGCCTTAGCTTCCACTGGTTTAACTTCCTTCTCTTCAGTTTTCTTGGCCTCGGCTTCCACCTTCTTTTCTTCAGCCTTCTCAGGTTTCACCTCGGAAACCTCAGCCTTAGCTTCGGATGGCTTAATTTCCTTCTCCTCAGGTTTCTTGGCTTGGGCTTCCACCTTCTCCTCTTCCGCCTTCTCAGGTTTCACCTCGGAGACCTCAGCCTTGGCACCAGTTGACTTAAATTCCTTCTCTTCAGGTTTCTTGACTTCTGCATCCACCTTCTCTACTTCTGCCTTTTCAGGTTTGACCTCAGATACCTCAGCCTTACCCTCCGAAGCCTTGACTTCTTTCTCTTCCAGTTTTTTGGTTTCAGTTTCAAGTTTCTTCTCCTCAATAGTTTCCGGCTTAATCTCAGCCACTTCCGCCTTTGCAGCCTCAGATTTCACTTCTTTTTCTTCTACTTTTTGGCTGGCAGTTTCCACCTTGGCTTCTACCATTAGTGATTCCGCTTTTAGGAACTCCAATGTGGCCACCGTTTCCAAAACTTTCTCCATGGCTTTACCCAATGTCATGAGATCTTCATATACCCTCAAAGTCCTAATCTTTTCCGTAGACTTTTCGATTTCATCATATTGTCGAAGAGCCAATGATTTCACCTTCTCCAGTTGAGGTTCCACTTGGCGATTTTTAATCTCCAGCATATCATCGAACATTACAAAGATATCCATTAGATTCTTTTGCAATTCAATCATGCTGACGCAGGATTTATCCACATCCTTCGAAGTCTTTAGGCTCTCACTGACCTTTTGTAGGTGGCTGAGTTTTGAATTGAGACCCTCAAGTTTGGGTTTCCAAATGTCGGATGGTACCAATTCGACCTTTTCTTTCAGACAGTTCAGAAGCTCTTCAACTTGTTGCAGAGATTTAGAATTGAATTCCTCGATAAGTTCGGAATTGCCCTCCAGCAAAGAATCGACAACATTTTCCAATTCCTCGCGGAATGATCCGTCATAGGTGTGGACTATGTGTTCACGCAATTTGAAGATGCACTTTCGCTTTTCTTCTTGGTTTTGGGAGTCCAATGCCTCTTGTAAGTCCTTCTTCAATTGTTGGGAATCTTCGCTGGCTTCCGATAATTTTTCCAAAGCCGTTTCCACGGTGCTCTCCAGGGATTTTTGTGGGAATTTATTATTTCTGATAACTTCGGCGATTTGTTTGAAGGTGGTTTGGCTATTTTCCAATTCTTGTAGCAGCTCCAAGCCATCCTGGATTTCCTGGCGGTTGAGTTTTTCTACCAAGGTTCTCAAGTGTTGTGCATTCACATCGGGACATTCTTCAATATGTTGTACGATTTGTTGTACTGCCACTTGAAGTTTTTGGAAATCTTCGCTTTCGATTTTCATATTTCCCCGATTGTTTTGATGTATATCCGCCACCTGGGACTTGAGATTTTCCAGGGTTTGACATAATTTACCCAATTTGCCTGGTTTATTGGGCGCTTGCTGCTCCGCCACAGTTAGAATTTCTTGTAGCGCTGGAGAGATATTCTCCTTGAGGTCATAGAGTATGGATTTCCTTAGCTGATCATTGCCATTCAGGATTTGTATGAAGACCTTGTTGAAGTTCTTGAATAATTCCACGGACTCGGCTGAAGTACATTCACGAAGTACAGAACATTTGAGTAATTCTTTGGTCTTGAAAAGCGTCAGGAAAAGACGATCCTCCAAACGTGTTGGGCCTTCCTCTTCAATGGCCATTTGCAGCTCTTTGAGATTATCGGCAATGGAACGGACAACTTCCTTTTGGGCCTGATTTAATGGGGCCTGCTGAATCGTACTGATCTGTTGGAAGGTTAAGTGTATGGATTTTAGAACCTCTTCAAGATAGGGTTCCTTAATAGGTTTTCTCTTTTCTTCTCCCTCCTTCTTGGCCTCAGAAATATCCGCCTTTTCGGCAGTGATTTTAACTTCTTTCGTTTCCGACTTTTGCAATTTCAGTTCATTGCTTTCCGCAACTTCTTTTTGTATCTCACTTACTTCGGCCTTTTGCAGCTTGCCGGGGGTGAGGTCCTGCTCCACAGATTTCTGGGCGCTAGGTGCCTGTTCCACATGTACAATTTGTAGCTTCTCCAAATTCTCTTTAAGGTTTTGCAAAAGTTCTGCCATTAGAGGAGAATGTTTGAATTCTTGGACCTGCAAGGTTTTTGGTCCTTCGAGCTCATGCTGGACTAAAATCAAAGTCTCTTTTAACAAGGCTACCTTGGCTTTGTTTAGTTCCATAAATTGCAATGCCAACGGGTTGTGTTCCATTATACCTTCCTGCATTTCTTCGAGGAAGAGTTGGGCCTCCTCCTTTATTTCAGAGATTTGGGCCCTTTGCAAAGTGGCAGGTTCCTGGGAAATAACTTTTTGGGCTTGTGGTGCAAAGCTACCCTCGGAGATTTGCAATTTCTCCAAATTGTCCTTGAGGCTAGACAAAAGTTCCGCCATTAGAGGGAAATGTTCGAACTGTAACTCCTTCAGTAATTGAGGAGCTTGCATCTCATGTTCCACAATGGCCAGGATTTCCATTAGCTTCGCCACCATGGCCTTATTTTGGGCCATGAATTTCACAGCAATGGGGTTATTCTCCACAATGCCCTCCTGCATTTCCGATAAAAATACCTTGGCTTCTTCTTTGATTTCTGCAATTTCAGCCTTTTGTGGTTCGGCGCCCTTTACATCTTTCACCTTGGGTTTCTTGGGCTGACTGTCCAAAATACCCTCGGCCAGTTGTAATTTCTCCAAGTTACCCTTCAAATTTTCCAATAATTCCGCCATAAGAGGTATATGCTGGAATTGCTGAACCACCGATACCTTTGGTCCTTCGAGCCCTTGTTCAATTATCTGCAACGTCTCACGTAGCTTAGCCACCTGACTTTGATTTTGTTTCATGAATTTCACCGCTAGCGGGTTATTTTCCACAATACCCTCTTCCATTTCTTCGAGGAACAGTTGCGCCTCCTCTTTAAGTTCGATAATTCGCGGCTTTTGGGTAACCACTTCAGGTTGTTGGGCCTTAGACTCTTCTAGTTTTACTTCCTCAATTTCTAATTTCTCCAAATTTCCCTTGATTTGTTGTAGAAGTTCCGCCATTTGGGGTAGAGTTTTTAGTTCTGTGATTTCAGCAGATTTTGGTCCTTCGAGCTCGAGTTGAACCTCATTTAAGGTTTCCTTTAATTTCGCCACCTGTGTCTGATTTTGTGCCATGAATTTCAAGGCCAGGGGATTGTTTTCTACCAAACCCTCCTGCATTTCCATTAGCAGCACTTCGGCCTCTTCCTTCAGCTCCATGAGCTGAGCTCTTTGAGGAGCTAATTTGTTTTCCAGAGTTTCAGCCTTTTGTGCCTTGGCTTCCAAAACCCGCTCCTCGATTTGCAACTTCTCTAAATTGCCCTTCAGATTTTCTACAAGTTTCGCCATTTGAGGCAGAGTTTTTAGTTCTTTAATTTCTGCCGATTTTGGTCCTTCGAGCTCATTCTGCACCTCATTTAGGGTCTCCTTTAGTTTTGCCACCTGTTTCTGATTTTGTTCCATAAATTTCACGGCCAGCGGATTATTTTCCACCAAACCCTCCTGCATTTCCTGTAGGAATACTTGAGCTTCTTGCCTCAGTTCCAAGAGCTGGGCTCTTTGAGGTGCTAACTGAACTTCTTGAGTTTCAGCCTTTTGCAGCTTGGCTTCCAGGGAACCTTCTTCGATTTGCAGCTTCTCCAAATTACCTTTGAGCTGTTGCAAAAGTTCCGCCACCAAGGGAAGAGATTTCAGTTCTTTAAGCTCTGCGGATTTTGGTCCTTCGAGTTCCTGTTGAACCTCATGTAGGGTCTCCTTCAGCTTGCCTACTTGCACTTGGTTTTGCTCCATGAATTTCACGGCCAGCGGATTATTTTCCACCAAACCCTCCTGCATTTCATGTAGGAAGACTTGAGCCTCTTGCTTCAGTTCCACAAGTTGGGCCTTTTGAGACATCAGCTGTACTTCTTGGACCTCTGCCTGTTGGGCCTTGGCTTCAATGGCCACTTCTTCTATTTGTAATTTCTCCAAGTTGCCCTTGAGGTCCTGTAATAGTTCTGCCATCATGGGCACGGATTTTAGTTCTTGCAATACACCCGTTTTTGGTCCTTCGAGCTCTTTTTCCACCAGCTTTAAGGTTTCCATAAGTTGACCAACTTGGGTTTGGTTCTGCTCCATGAATTTAAGGGCCACGGGATTGTTTTCCACCAAACCCTCCTGCATTTCAGTAAGGAATACTTGGGCTTCTTCTTTTAGTTCGAGAATTTTAGCCTGTTGCGGAATGGCTTGGGTTTCTTGTACCAAGGGTGTCTTTGCTTCATCTTCTTGCAATTTCTCCAAGTTTACCTTGAGATCTTGCAGAATTTGTGCCATCATGGAGACAGCCTTCATTTCTTTCACTTCGAGAGATTTTGGTCCTTCGAGCTCTTGTTTGGCTTCGGAGAGAGTATCTTTCAGCACGGCCAGTTGGCTTTGGTTTTGTTCCATGAATTTTACGACCAGCGGATTTTGTTCCACCAATCCTTCCTGAACTTCGGTTAACAAAAGTTCCGCTTCAGCCTTGAGTTGAGATCCCTCCTGCTTCTGGATCTCCTGCATGCTGGTTTGTAGATCCTGCAGTAGAGCCTTCATTACCTGGACCTCGGGAAGTTTCTGCACCTCAATGGCTTGGGGTTCCTGCAACTTCAGCTCCACATTGATGAGGGTATCCTTCAATTGGGCCACCATGGGTTGTTTTTCGGCCAAGAATTTCTGAGTCAGGGGATTGTTGCTTACCAGACCCTCTTGTATCTGGGTTAGGAACGTTTGGGTCTCATTAACCTGGGCAATAAGTAATTGCATCTGGGCCTCATCTACCACGGGAATGGCCATCAGATGATTGGAAATATCCCTCAATTGCGGACTTAGAGAATCTATTTCCTGCAGCAGTTCTATGATCCGCATATTACCCTCATTGTTTTCGATGAAATCGTAAATGTAGAGCAGGGTCTTCACCGACTCTCGGAGTAGTTCCCGCATACGTAAATCTTTACTCACTTCGCTGAGATCATTGAGGGCATTAAAGCTGGCCATGAGTTGGGTCTGCAGCTGCACAATGACACTGGAACTGGGTTCGATGTCGACTTTTCCCGATTTGCAGATGACCTCAATGGTCTCCAGTAGATTTCTAAACGACGGCACCAATTTTTGCATATCCTCCGCGGGGTGTTCCAAACATTGTACAATAAATTCGGAAAAGGCGAATTTAATTTTCTCCCGCATTTCCAGGGCCAATTGATGCTCCAACGAGGGCATGGCCTGTAGCAGATCTTCAAAGGTTTTCTCAATATCTTCTAGACCCACATCGAGGCCGGATGCTTCATAAGTGTGGACCAAACATTCTTTGAGTTTAAACATGGTTTTGGCCACCTGAGATTCCTTGGTTTTTAGGTCTGAGGGGGAGAGCAGCAACTGTTTTTGCATTTCCTGTAAATCGGAGCGTAGGGTCTGCATAATCTCCTCAATTTCTGAGACCTCGATCTCGCTTATCTTTTTGGTCGACTCGAGGCATTCCTCTAACTGTTTGATGCCGCCAGCCACACAATCCTTGAGATCGAAGGTCTTTACTTCCACCTGGTGTGTGGTTACCTGGGGCACCGGTGTCATGGGGGTAACCGAACGTAACTCCGCCAGCGATTTCATTTCCGATAAATCGAGAGAAGACAAATCATCGAGGTTCTCAAAAATTTGGGTATCCAGATTTTCACAGTATTTCAGCAGCTCAAAGAGTGTGGCACATTGCTGCTTCTGTTGCAGCAATTGAAAGTCGGGATATTCCGCCAGGGAATGGAGAGCATGTTCCTGTTTCACCATGACTATGGCTTCCTTGAGCAATAGCAATGGCTTGGCCATGACTTTCAATTGTTCCAACGATTCGGCCTCAGAGAGCGTAGAAGTGTGTGAGAGTAGAGTTTGTTCTTCGCGGCAGGCGAGAGATTTTTCCAGCTCCCTTAAGGGTTTCACCAGCTGCTGTAAGGGTGAAGATCTTTCGCTGAGACTTTCCAAGGTCTCGAGGGTTTGTTGTTCCTGCACTGCAACGAGGTATGGAGTGATGCTGCGCAGCAATTCTGAGCAAGATAATTGTGAGGCCTGTGAGAGCGTGGCCAGGGATTCCGCCTGCTCCAATTCCTGCATGTAGAAACCTCTGACAGCCTCCACAATTTCCTTCAGCGGTTTGGCCATGGCTTTCAATTGGAATACTTCTTCCTCCTTGAGGGATTGCACATCTTGATATTGCACGAACTCTTGGATCTGCAGGCCACAATATTCCAAATTGCTAATGGCCTCCACAATAGATCTATGCGAACTGGCTTGGGACACTTCGGATAGTGTTGAAGCCCGGCCAAACACGGGCGATTGTAGACTCCTTTCCAGACTGAGGATTTTCTCCCTCACAATTTCCAATTGTTGTGCGGATTCCTCCTTCTTCGTCGTGGTCTGGGAATCCAATACCTCGCAGTGATTCAATACCGAGGCAATGCTTTGCTTCAATTGCCCCAACAACTGATCCACCTGGGCCCGTTTTTCCTCAAATGCCTGCAGCGGACCGGGTGTGACATAATCCGATGGCAGGGACTCAATGGTGGTGTGCATCGGAGACATTTCCTCCAACGTGGTGGCCAACTCCTCTTCCGTATCATGGATGCGGGTCAAACACTTGGATATGAGATTCTCCAATGCCACCAGGGTCTTGTCAAAGGTATCTGCCACGGATATGGGTAGGTTGACGCCCGTTGCATCATCGAAGTATTCCATTTGATCTATGGCCAATTTCAGTTCCTCGAAGTGGCTGTGACAATTCTTGGTGAAGAATTTTTGGAACTCATCACGGCTTCTCATGCCTCCCAATTTCTCAAGGGACATATTTAATTTCCCAATGTGGGGAGAGATGGCCTTCAAGGCTCTCACCGAGGCCATAAGAGATTTTCCATCCACTCCCTGGATTTCTTGATGTTTAAATTCATCGCACATCCTTTGAAGCGGAGCGCTCAGCTCCACCAAACTTTGCTCCAATTTGTGATCCAAATATTTCATTTCCTGCAGCATGCCGATGTTCTCCATCAGCCTCTGTAGCTCTTTGATGCCCTCACTTAAATCGATTTTCAGTTCCATTTCTTGACGCATGGCTGCGAACAGGTTCTGCTCCTTGGCAGCCTGTTGTTCGTCGAGCTCAATTTCCTTTTGGAGATTTTTAAATTCCGTTTCCTCAATGCCGATTTCAATGCGTTTGATCAGGTCTCGTATCTTCATCAAGGTATCGCCCACATCTTGATTCTGTTTGAGAGGAGAGAGATCAAGGATACCCTGGCTCACCTTGATTTTGTCATTTAAGCTATGCAGAGGATCTACCAAATCTGTAAGGGATCCCGAAATGGCCTTTTGCTCAATTTGCCGTATACAATAGTTTAGCTCATCGATGGGACGTTTAATGTTCTCCAACACGGTGAGGTGGTATTTATCGATTTCCTTATCGATGACCTGGCTAATCAACGAAGAGATTTCATCTTTCAAACGCGTTAAACTTGAGCTCACATTCTCCGGTAATTTTTGATTGATATTCTCAATATTTGTCTCCAGGTGGAGCACAGCCTGGGCCAGGGACTGCAGTAATTTCTTCATATCATCCGAATCCATAAAGGACTCAGTGGCCTCTGCCAAATGCCCAGCCATAATATCTTGGCTCAATTGGGCCAAACCATTTTGCATTTCCTGCAGAGGAGGCACCATGGACTCCACCGTGGACACCGTCAATTTTCCAGCCTCGACATTCCTCGATGGTTGGGCCAAAATAATTTCCAAACCCTTTTTCAACTCAAACAGGGGTGGTGATACAATGTCCAATATGGCCATATTAATCTTGTGTTCCATGCTATTCGATCCGGCCAAGCTATTGGCCCTTGACTCTATCTTGCCCACCACCTTGTGTAGCTCATTAAAGGGTTCAACGAAATTGTGAAGAATTTTTTCATGGACCTTCAGGTAAATATCCTCATCACTTTCCTCCAGGGTCAATTCATTTTCCACCTTTTCCAAGGCTTCCTGGATCCGCATAACCGGTTCACAAATCATTGCCACAAAGGCAGCATCTTTGGGTAGGCTAACATCGCTGACCTTCTCAAATGGCACCGGTTCGGGAACATCTTGCAATTTGGCCACTGTTTCCGTGAAATGTTTACTAGCCTCCAATTCTTGGGCCTCCTGCAGCAGGGCCTGTGACTTAATGGTATCCTTGGTTATCTCCAAACCTTGGCGTATATCATCCACAGTCATTTCTAAATGGCCCCGCAAATGTTCATTTTCAAAAAGCTTCGAAATGGTCTTGACCTCCTCCAACGCCTTAATCATGTGATCCGCAATACTATCAATAATACAAACACTGGTCCTTTGGATCAGTGTCGTTCCGGTCTCATCGATTTCCACACATTTCTCAATGACCTGTAGGGCCACATGCAAATTGCGAACATCATCCTTCATGGTTTCAAACAGGGCTTCTAAAGGCGTCTCTCCGGAATAGACTTTCAATTTCGATTGTATCTGGCCTATGGGTTCTATGACATTTTTTATAATCGCTATGGACTGATCTGCCGAGGATGGGGTCATCAACATGACGGATTGGGCAATTACCTCCGATTCCACAGCATTTAAATGACCATCTAAAATTTTCAACATTTTTGCCAGAGGCAAGAGGGTCTTCAAATTTCTCTCAATTTCCTCTGGACTCTGCTCGATCTTCTTGGTGTGTTTTGTGTTTACAATTTTCAAGCCATCACCCTCGGCGCCCGATAAATCCTGTAGAGCACCCGTTTCAGTATCTGTGGCCTTGGAGGAATCACTGCCGGCATCCTTCTTGCCCTTCTTCCTGGCCGGTGGCTGTTGGGCGCCACCCTCATCCATAGACTGATAAAATGAAGAATCTACTGGGGATTGTACGGCACTGGCAAAGGTTTGTAACTCCGAGGAGTCCGCCTCCTCCAGACTGCTAATCGTTTTCTCAGGGCTACAAAACTCCTCACCATTTCTCACCTTGGATTTCCGTCGCTTCCTTGAGGGAGCCGAAACCGAGCCATCTACTTCCTCTTCTCCCTCCAACATGGTTTCCATTTTCTCCAATTCCGCCTTACGCTCCTCCAATTCCTTTTCATCCTTCACGGAGGATCCATGGATGGTGATTTCATTCAACGAAATATCATCCATTCCCGCCTCAGTTCTCAAATCTTCGTCGTGGGAGAAATATTCCGGAGAGATATCAATGACCATGGCCTCCATCAGCAATTTACCCGATTGCGAGGTCTCCTTGACAAATCTCAAGGGTGGCAGTTCCACCACATTATGTTCGGTAACATGTTCAGAAATTTGATCGGCATACATTTCCACAATTTTAATGGCCTCATCCTCTGTCAAATCAGGAGTTTCGTACAACGAAACCGATACCTCTTTACCATCAAAGGAAAATGATACCTCCGTACCCTGCGGAGTTTCATACAACTGAGAGGTTCGCTCCTCTTGAATGGTGGACAGCGAGAAGTTCCTTTGCAATTCGTTTTGTTTTTCCATTTCCTGATTCGTGCGGGCATCTTCAAAGCCCAGCAAGGAAGCCGAACTTGCCACCACGCCCATACAATTCCGAGCCTCACAGGTATACGTACCCAGGCAGCAGGTACCATCCTGCCCCGAAATAATTTTATGAATATCTCCCGGTTTCAGCTCCACACCATCTTTATACCATTTCAAGACCGGCTGCGGCACACCAATTACCTTACACTCCAAATTCACCGCACCCTCCTCTGTCAGCACCGCTCGCAAACTTTCCAAAAACCGTGGTTTCTTATAATGCCGCGGTATTTGCAATTTCAGGAAACACGAAGTTACACTCGTGCCGAACTCATTTACTGCCACACACTTCCACTCCGCCTGATCTAAAAATTCCACATTCGTAATATCCAAATACCAGTTGTCCTCCTCGCCTCTATAATAATTATAATATTCACAAATTTCAATGGGGATTTCGTCACGGAACCACGAGAGCAGTGGTTCAGGTTTCGCTTCCAACTTAACCATAAATTGGAAGGGTTCATTGATTTTCGTTTCTTGAGTCTTCAAGCCAATTAAAAATTTCGGTGGTTGATTATTGGCCCCGATGAGAATGCGATCTTCCTCCTTTAGTTGATTTTGTATATCCTCTATGGTCAGGACGGCAACACTGCTACTTTCACCCATACAATTTTTGGCCACACAACAATAGGTGCCTAGGGAATTGGTTCCCGTCAGCTGATATACATCGCCGGGTTTCAATTCTTGACCGTCCTTAAACCATTTGAGGACAGGGGTGGGGAATCCCACCACCTTACATTCGAATGACACCAAACCCTCTTCCGTGAGGATGGCTCGCAGACTTTCCATAAAACGAGGCTTGCGATAATTTTTGGGTACTGCAAAAGAAGAGGAGAGGTAATACAGAATCTGGTATCGAAATAGGGGAGGAAAAAGTGAAGAATGAATGCCTAAAATTCCGATAGACCCTAAAAAATAATTCTTAAGAAATCCCCGCCTAAGGGTAGACCTTAAAAAATAATTCTTAAGAAATCCACGCCTAAGGGTAGACCTTAAAAAATAATTCTTAAGAAATCCACGCCTAAGGGTAGACCTTAAAAAATAATTCTTAAGAAATCCACGCCTAAGGGTAGACCTTAAAAAATAAGTCTTAAGAAATCCACGCCTAAGGGTAGACCTTAAAAAATAATTCTTAAGAAATCCACGCCTAAGGGTAGACCTTAAAAAATAATTCTTAAGAAATCCACGCCTAAGGGTAGACCTTAAAAAATAATTCTTAAGAAATCCACGCCTAAGGGTAGACCTTAAAAAATAAGTCTTAAGAAATCCACGTCTAAGGGTAGACCTTAAAAAATAATTCTTAAGAAACCTACGCCTAAGGGTAGACCTTAAAAAATAATTCTTAAGAAATCCACGCCTAAGGGTAGACCTTAAAAAATAAGAAATCCACGCCTAAGGGTAGGCCTTGAAAAATAATTCTTAAGAAATCCACGCCTAAGGGTAGACCTTAAAAAATAATTCTTAAGAAATCCACGCCTAAGGGTAGACCTTATAAATAATTCTTAAGAAATCCACGCCTAAAGGTAGGCCTTAAAAAATAATTCTTACGAAATCCACGCCTAAGGGTAGACCTTAAAAAAATAATTCTTAAGAAATCCACGCCTAAGGGTAGACCTTAAAAAATAATTCTTCAAAAATCCACCCCTAAGAGTAGACCTTAGGAGAAAAAATTCTGTCAAAAGTACCCTTCTTTATCAGCTTCTCCTCCTATCTTTCTACACATTCTTCACTTCTTCTCCCCGATTTAAAATTTTGTATCATCTCTACTTACTTTCCATATTTACCACACACGATGAAATGCCCACGCAACCCTCATTGTTGGTCACGACACATTTCCAGTCACCTTCATCGCAGGCCTCTGAAGGGTTAATTTCGATCATGTAAACACCCAAACCGTCCTCGATGTGTTTGTAACGTTCACCGGCATCGACACGGCCATTTTTGTTGTACCAGGCCACACTCTTGGGCCATGGTGGCACCGCCACTAAAAATCGGAAATAAAAGAGAGAGAAAATAAATTAGCTCTCTATTTTCTTTTCGAAGAGAAAAAACCGAATGTTTTATTTAATTTGTTTTGTTTTGATCTTGAAATTCTCTGCTGCTGCTGTTCGATTCGATTCTGTGTGCGCTGCTGATGACCTGCCCCACTATCTGAGGTATTCCAAAAATTTTGTTTCAATTCAAGTTTATGTTCGCGCGAAGAGCAAAATCGGAAAATTTGCTTTGGCCATTTGATGCCGCTAAAATGCCACCGGTATTTTCTGTTCATTCTTTCGATTGATTTCGATGCGGCATCGTTGATGGTGGTGGTTCTCAGGCTGTTTGTTGCACGACTTTTTCCGCCGTTTTTGTTTTTTTTTTCAGATTGGCAACGGGCCAAGAAAAACTGAAACAAATTAAATTAATGATGTTTTCGCACTGTGGCATACTCACCTTGGCATCCGAGCACAATACTGTCACCGATTCGAACGTTGGCATTTTTCAGTTCATTTGTAAATATTGGTGGGGGTGCACCATTGGACATGCTAGCAACAAATTGAGAACAGAGAGTAATTAGGAGAGCGAATGAGAAAAAAAGAGAGAGAGAGAGTAGTTAATTACCTATCCGCCGGTTTCAGCGAACCATCTCTGCTACCCCGACCCACAACATGTACTTTGGAACTTGAATAGGTTTTACCCATACAATTGACAGCCTCACAGGTGTAGGTTCCCAGCGAGGTGGGATCATTTGCATTGGCCGTCAGGGCAAATATATCTCCTGCCTTGATTTCTTTGGAATCTTTGAACCATCTTAATTGGGGTGTCGGTACACCCACCACCTTACATTCCAAAGAAACGGTACCCTGTTCGGTGAGTACTGCCTTCAATTCTTCTACAAACTCGGGGGCCTTATAGGCCTTGGGGACCATAACATTTAAATGACAAATGCAGGAATTACGTCCACTCAAATTCTCAGCCATAACCATCCATTGGCCACCGTCTTCCAGAATGACGGGGCTAACTTCGAGCCAATAATAGGTGCCCTCTTGCACCTGTTTGATGCGATCGTTTTCGCATATTCGACGATCGTTGCGATACCAGGTTAGCTGGAAGAAATAAAAATAGGATATAATGTTAAAAAAATAACTTCGCCTAAAGGTGGGTCTTAGAAAAATATTCTTAAAAAATTCACGCCTAAAGGTGGACCTTAGAAAAATATGTTTTAAGAAATCCGCGCCTAATGGTAGTCTCTAAAAATAATCTTTGAAAAATCCACATCTAATGGCGTGGATTCATCACCCGATGAAATAGTGAGCTAATATGTGCCGCGAGATCGCCCATAAGAACTATAAAAAATGGGTTGATGCGTCGGGTTAGTTGCCCACTCTCGGAAAACCCAAACTACTATGAAAAAGCAAAGAAAAAGAAAACCAAACCCCCTAATGTTGACGACCCCCTCAAACGTATAAAGGACCACGATCTGGGAATCTGCACTTAGAATGTGCGCACGTTGTACAGAAAAGGCGCAGTGTTCGCTTTGGCGGATGAACTCAAGAAGTACAAAGTCGATATTATTGTCTTGCAGGAAATGCGATGGAAAGGGACTGGCGTAAGTAAATCAGATGATTACGCCCTGTATTATAGCTGCCATGAAACGACACATGAATTTGGCTGCGGATTTGTGGTTAACAGGAGAATAAAAGACCTCGTCACCAGATTCACTCCAGTAGATGAGCGAATTGCTATAATCCGTATAAAAGCGAAGTTTTTCTACATCAGTTGCATTTGTGCCCATGCTCCGACCGAAGATAAAGATGAACAGACCAAAGACATATTTTACGAGCGCCTAGAAACTGCATATGACCGCAGCCCTGGCCATGACATTAAAATTCTGCTAGGAGATTTTAATGCAAAAATCGGAAGGGAAAATATCTTTGGCCCCACCGTGGGAAAATTTAGCCTTCACGAAGGAACAGCAGACAACGGCATGAGGTTGATTGACTTCGCGGCAGCAAAAACATGGTAGTTAGCAGCACCAGATTCAAGCATCTCGATATACACAAGCCCACTTGGATTTCTCCCGATCGAACAGCGAGAAATCAAATCGATCATGTTGTGATAGACGGAAGGCGTTCATCCAGTGTTTTAGATGTCCGATCGATCGGGGGAGCGAATATCAAGGTAAGCACCCGTCTTAATGTAGCAGCAAAGGTGCGATCTAATGTAACACGGAAATTTGACGTCGAACAGTTGCAAACACAACAGATAGCAGAAACCTACTCCGCTCAACTTACCCAACTGCTTGACGAAAGCCCCCCTTGCCCCGTTAATAATATAGAAGCACAACGGCAGAGAATTGCCCACTCCCTACAAACTGCAGCAAAAGCAACACTTGGGTTCCAAAGACCACCATCAAGAAATCCGTGGTACGATAGGAGTGTCGTAATTCTACCGATATGAAAAACACCCTGCCGACAGTAGCAACATGTAATGCGATGGAGAACTATCGGGAGAAAAGGAGAGAGGAGAAACGTATTTTCAGAAAAAAAGAAGAAAGAACAGGAAAAACGTGAGCGTGAGCAAATCGAGATGTACAGGAGTCAGAATGAAGTCCGAAAATTCTACCAAAGGGTAAAACACCAAACCGAAGGCTTTGGTGCAGGCACATCCTCCTGTAGAGATAAGGAAGGAAACTTGGTGACAGATACAGACAGCATGCTGAGGATCTGGAAGGAGCATTTTGAAAAACTTCTGGTATCAAATAGTAGCGGCGAAGAGGATACCCCAGAACCGATAATAGATGACGGTATGGAGAGTATACCACCTAGCCAAGATGACGTCAGAATTGCAATCAATCGGCTGAAGAAGGGTCAATGACATTATTGGACCATACCAATGTGGCTTCAGACCCTGCAAATCCACCATTGACCAGATTTTCACTCTGCGCCAAATCCTGGAAAAACCCCACGAAAAACACACCGACTCCATCCACCTATTCGTCGACTATAAAGCCGCATTCGATAGCCCTATCCGTTCAGAAATGTATAAAGCCATGACTGTGTTTGGCATTCCTGCAAAATTAATTCGGCTATGCAGGATAACTTTAACTGTCACAAGATCAGCAGGTAAAGTCGGAAAGGACCTCTCGGAGCCCTTTAATACAGAACGAGGATTCAGGCAAGGTGATAGTTCGTCGTGTGACTCTTTGTAACATCCTGCTGGAAAAGGTCATACGAGAGGCAAAAGTGCTGTTCACTCTGTACACCAAACAACACATGGTACTCGCCTACGCCGATGACATCGACATAATGGGTCGAACATTGTGAACGGTAACAGCCACCATTGAACAAATTGAGAATGTGTCTGCCAATGTGGGTCTGGTAGTAAACGGCGAGAAGAGCAAGCCGATGGTATCAACGCGCAAGACGTACAGTAGACTCGGACCAACTTTGGACTTGAGAACTACAGCTTCGAGGTAGTCACAGATTTTATATACCTTGGTACCGCCATAAATAAAACGAATGACATCAGTTTTGAAATTCGGAGAAGGATAGTGATGCTACTATGGTCTGAGCAAACAACTCAAAAGCAAAGACGCTGATACTACCCGTGCTGTTATACGGATCTGAAGCATGGGTACTTACGCAAGCAGATGAGGCAGCTCTTGAAGTGTTTGAGAGAAAAAATCCCCAAAAGATCTATGGGCCGACCTGCGTTGACGGTGAATATCGCCGTCGAAAGAACCATGGATTGTACCAGCTATTCTCGGACATCGACATTGTTAGACGTGTATTGAGCTGCAGCAACTACGTTGGCTAGGTCATGTTGTGAGAATGGATGAAAATTCCCCAGCCCAGAAGGCATATAAATACGAACTGATGGCTGATGGTTCAAGCAGAAGGGGAAGGCCACGAATACGATGGAAAGATCAAGTCGAAGACAACATTGCCGAATAGGGTCTTTCTAATTGGAAAAACTGCGCAAAAGGCCGATGCGCCTGGAAATCTTTTCTAAGCTCGGCTTATGGAACGAAAGTTCTGTCACAAGCCAGCTATGTAAGTAAGTAATGGTAGTCTCTAAAAATATTCTTTAAAAAATCCACGCCTAATGGTTGGCCATATAAAATATTTTTTTAAAAAATCCACGCCTAATGGTTGGCCATATAAAATATTTTTTTAAAAAATCCACGCCTAATGGTTGGCCATATAAAATATTTTTTTAAAAAATCCACGCCTAATGGTTGGCCATATAAAATATTTTTTTAAAAAATCCACGCCTAATGGTTGGCCATATAAAATATTTTTTTAAAAAATCCACGCCTAATGGTTGGCCATATAAAATATTTTTTTAAAAAATCCACGCCTAATGGTTGGCCATATAAAATATTTTTTTAAAAAATCCACGCCTAATGGTTGGCTATTATAAAATATTTTTTTAAAAAATCCACGCCTAATGGTTGGCCATATAAAATATTTTTTTAAAAAATCCACGCCTAATGGTTGGCCATATAAAATATTTTTTTAAAAAATCCACGCCCAATGGTAGGCCATATAAAATAATTTTTAAAAAATCCACGCCCAATGGTAGGCCATATAAAATAATTTTTAAAAAATCCACGCCTAATGGTAGGCCATATAAAATAATTTTTAAAAAATCCACGCCCAATGGTAGGCCATATAAAATAATTTTTAAAAAATCCACGCCTAATGGTAGGCCATATAAAACAATTTTTAAAAAATCCACGCCCAATGGTAGGCCATATAAAATAATTTTTAAAAAATCCACGCCTAATGGTAGGCCATATAAAATAATTTTTAAAAAATCCACGCCCAATGGTAGACCATATAAAATAATTTTTAAAAAATCCACGCCTAATGGTAGGCCATATAAAATAATTTTTAAAAAATCCACGCTTAATGGTTTTCATTTTCTCCCTCCACTTACCTTAACCTCTGTTGAGCTACGTATCTCCAATAAAAATCGTGTTCGTGTACCAACTTTAACCGACAAATCCATCAGGCGTCTGGCAAATACTGGTGGATCTTCGCCCGCTGAACGATCTTCGACAATTAGCTCGATATTCTTTCGTATAACATCGTTGGCTTTGGTGCGAGCAATCAGGGTGTAGTGACCAGCATCTTCACGTTGGACATGTTCAACGGCCAGCTGGACAGCATTGCTGGTTTGTGTTATGCGAAAGCGATCGGAATTGTAAATGGGTAGATCGCCACGACTCCTGTAAAGAGAGAAAATAATACAAATTAGAAATAAAAAAATATTAAAAATAAAAAAAATAGAACAAAGCATGAAGACCGCAGAACACCCATTGATTGCCCATAAAATTTTTGTTGATATTTTTTTATTGGCTTTCCAATAAATCATTTGTGGGATACTTTTTTTTCTATACGATTTCGTAATTTTATTGTGTTTTTATAGCTGCCGTCTCTTTGGTACCCTGGGGCGTATTGCGGTGGTCAGTAGTTATACGCCACCTGTGACCAATATGAACGAAAATCAATTTTATTATGGACTTCTTTCGTAAGAATTTGGATTTCAAAGCAAAAAATTTGTAAAAATGTATGTAGATTTGTAATGAATATTGAGGAACACAAGGTAAATTTTCAAAATCTCAAAAATTTTCCATATGTTTTGGTTTTTTGAAAACTTCATAAAACAATCAATTTTCGAAAGAAAAATTTCGATCGAATTGTTTTATTTATTTTTGTCTAGAGTTTATTTATTTGTATTTCAATTAACCTGGAAACATAAACATCCGCTTGTTTTTAGATATTTTGTTTATATAATTTATTTATTTTCTTCAAAAAAATGTGTGTTATATATTTTTTATTTACCTTTTACGATATACTGATGAGGTAGACGAGAGTGTGCCGTGATAATATTTGCGATCGTTGCAATTGCAACATTTCGAACAACCGTTGCCCATTATTCTGTGATGCCAGATTTATGGGGTATGATTTTTTTAATTCGTTTTGTATTTTATTAATTAATTATAAATAATTTTTTATTAAGTCCTTTTGACTTAGTCCTTTTCTTTTCCTTTTTTTCTTTTTGTGGATTCTCACTTCTTTTCGTTTCACTTATTTCGTTTGATATGTTTTATTTTTTCTTTCTTAAAAAATGCTTATGTATTGGTGGCAACAACGACATGTGATGATACATCAATGCTATTTAATAGAAAAAAATTAAGAATTTAAAAATTTTTTTCAGGGGTCATTATATGCGGAAATGATATATAGGATTTTTTTTCTGGTTCAAATTTAAGTACCAGATTTTTTTTAAATAATGTGTTCTATGGGATCTTTTTCAAGATACCCACAGAAGGCGGGTTTTTTCAATAATACTGTAATATATTTGTGGTACTTGGAGCGTATGACTGTTGTCAGAACGTATACAACCCAATGGCCAAGTAATAATACCTATTTATTTTATGTTTTCAAGGACTCAAAGAAGACGTGTTTTTTTTAATAATTTTTAAGGGCTACACAGAAGGCGTCACAAACAAGGCGGGAATTTTTTTAAAGAAAAATTTTCAAGGGTCACAAACAAGGCGTGGATCTTTTTAAGAATATTTTCATGGGTCACAAACAAAGACTCAGATTCGATTTTTTAAAGAATATGTTTTTAAAGGTTGAGACAATGATGGATTTTTAAAGGATTTTTTCAAAGGTTCAGACAAGGATGGATTTTTAAAAGAATTTTTTTCTGAGGTTCAGACAAGGTTGGATTTTTTGAAGAATATTTTTTCAAAAGTTCAGACAAGTGTGGATTTTGAAAATAATATATTTTTCTGAAACTATCAATTTTTGAGAAGAAAATTAATAAGAAATTTTCAAATTTTTGTTTTGATGTCTAAAGAATTAAAATTCTGCAGAACCACGATGCGTATGAGTGTGGTCCATACGTATACGCTTCAAAGAAATTTATTAGATTATTTAAAGAATATTTTTTCCTAGACCATTTCCATTTGCCATAAATAAGGGTGGATTTGTTAATAAATTTTAAATTTAAGGATCAACAGAAGGCCTAATTCTATTGTGGAGAATTCTATTGTGGATTTTTGTCTGATGGACCTTTAATATGTGTGGTACTTGGAGCGTATGACTGCAATGGCCAAATTATAATTCTTATTATTATTTTTTTTTTTTCAAGGCCTCAAAGAAGGCGTGTTTTGTAATAAGGCGTGGATTTTATAAAGAATATTTTTCAAGGGTCACAAACAGGGCGTGGATTTTATAAAGAATATTTTTCAAGGGTCACAAACAGGGCGTGGATTTTATAAAGAATATTTTTCAAGGGTCACAAACAAGTTCTGGATTTTATTTAAAGAAATTTTATCAAAGAATATTTTTTCAAAGGTTCAGACAAGGTTGGTTTTTTAAAGGAATTTTTTCAGAGGTTCAGACTAGGGTTGATTTTTAAAGATTCAAAGGTTCACCCAAGAGTGGATTTTTAAAGGAAAATTTTTTCAAAGACTCAGACAAGATTGGATTGTTTTTTTTATACCCTTCACCACACTGTGGTACAGGGTATTATGTCTTTGTGCATATGTTTGTAACAGGCAAAAGGAAACGAGATAGACACATGGTTCCTTTTGAGAATATGCATAGAATCACTTTCTAAGTCGATTTATGCATGTCCGTCCGTCAGTCTGTCTGTCTGTCCATGTTAAATTGTAAACAAAGTACAGGTCGCATTTATGATCCGAATTGGATGAAATTTGGCATAGGTCACTTATTCGGCCCAAGGACGAACCCTATTGAAATTGGGAAAAATCGGTTCAGATTTAGATATAGCTCCCATATATATATTTTACCGATTTAATGTAAACGGTCCCTATATATCTTTCGATTTGCACGAAATTTGGTACAGCCTTATCATTTAGGTCTAGAATGATGTCTGCCAAGTTTCATGAAAATCGGTCCAGATTTAGATATAGCTCCCATATATAGTTTCGTCCGATTTCATGTAAATGGTGCCCCAAAGTCCTTATATATATTTCGATTTGCACGAAATTTGGCACAACGTACTGAATTAAGCCTAGAATGATGTCCGCCAAGTTTCGAGAAAATCGGCCCAGATTTAGATATAGCTCCCATATATAGTTTCGTCCGATTTCATGTAAATGGTGTGCCAAAGTCCCTATATATCCTTCGATTTGCACTAAACTAGGCATAACGTACTGAATTGAGCCTAGAATGATGTCTGCCAAGTTTCGAGAAAATCGGTCCAGATTTAGATATAGCTCCCATATATAGTTTCGTCCGATTTCATGTAAATGTTGCCCCAAAGTCCCTATATATCTTTCGATTTGCACGAAATTTGCTATAGAGTACTGAATTTGCTATAGAGTACTGAAATTGGTACAGCCGTATCATTAAGGTCTAGAATGATGTCTGCCAAGTTTCATGAAAATCGGTCCAGATTTAGATATAGCTCCCATATATAGTTTCGTCCGATTTCATGTAAATGGTGCCCCAAAGTCCTTATATATCTTTCGATTTGCACGAAATTTGGCACAACGTACTGAATTAAGCCTAGAATGATGTCCGCCAAGTTTCGAGAAAATCGGTCCAGATTTAGATATAGCTCCCATATATAGTTTCGTCCGATTTCATGTAAATGGTGTGCCAAAGTCCCTATATATCCTTCGATTTGCACTAAACTAGGCATAACGTACTGAATTGAGCCTAGAATGATGTCTGCCAAGTTTCATGAAAATTGGTCCAGATTTAGATGTAGCTCCCATATATAGTTTCGTCCGATTTCATGTAAATGGTGCCCCAAAGTCCCTATATATCTTTCGATTTGCACGAAATTTGGCATAACGTACTGAATTGAGCCTAGAATGATGTCTGCCAAGTTTCAAGAAAATCGGTCCAGATTTAGATATAGCTCCCATATATAGTTTCGTCCGATTTCATGTAAATGGTGCACCAAAGTCCCTATATATCCTTCGATTTGCACTAAACTAGGCATAACGTACTGAATTGAGTCTAGAATGATGTCTGCCAAGTTTCGAGAAAATCGGTCCAGATTTAGATATAGCTCCCATATATAGTTTCGTCCGATTTCATGTAAATGGTGCCCCAAAGTCCCTATATATCTTTCGATTTGCACGAAATTTGCTATAGAGTACTGAATTAGGTGCAGAATGCTGTGTGCCAAGTTTCCCAAAAATTGGTTCAGATTTAGATATAGCTTCCATTTATAATTTCGTCCGATTTAACGTAAATGGTGCACCAAAGTCCCTATATATCATTCGATTTGGATATAGCTCCCATATATAGTTTTGTCCGATTTTATGTAAATGGTGCACCAAAGTCCCTATATACCTTTCGATTTGCCTTAAATTTAGGACAGCGTTCTGAATTAAGTCTAGAATGATGTGTGCTAAGTTTCGTGAAAATCGGTCTAGACTGAGATATAGGCCCCATATATATTTTCGTCCGATTGAAGGTAAATGGGGCACCAAATTTGGCATAAAGTACTGAATTAGGTCAAGAATGACGTGTGTTAAGTTTCGAGAAAATCGGTCCAGATTTAGATATAGCTCCCATATATAGTTTTGTCCGACTTCATGTAAATGGTGCACCAAAGTCCCTATATATCCTTCGATTTGCACGAAATTTTGCATAACATTCTGAATTAAGCCTAGAACGACGTGTGTAAAATTTCCTGAAAATCGGTACAGATTTATATATATATATATTCGTCCGATTTTATGTAAATGGTGCACCAAAGTATATCCTTCGATTTTCACGAAAATTGGATTTGTAAGTAAATGAAGATATCGGTTTAGATTTCGATATTTTGCTTTAAATTTATTTACATAATTTCCCATTGTAAGAAGCAACTCTATATCTGACCAAAATTTAGTATAGGTTGCGGAATGAAATGTTTATTTTAATGTTAATGGTCCTTCAAAAATGCGACGTCCGTTAGGATCCCATCTGTTGAATATACCCATAGTGGTGAAGGGTATCATATAGTCGGCCCCATCGGCCTTTACTACTTTCCTTACTGTTTTTTTTTTTGAAGAATATTTTTTCAAATTCTCTGACAAGATTGGATTTTTTGAAGAATATTTTTTCAAAGGTTGAGACAAGGGTAAACTTTTAAAGGATTTTTTCAAAGGTTCACCCATGAGTGGATTTTTAAAGGATTTTTTTTTCAAAGGTCCACCCAAGTGTGGATTTTTAAAGGAATTTTTTCAAATACCCAGACAAGATTGGATTTTTTTGAAGAATATTTTTTCGAAGGTTCAGACAAGGGTGGATTTTGAAAAACAATATATATATTTTTGTGGAACTATCAATTTTTAAGAAGAAAAGTAATAAAAAAATAAAATCCTTTGGAACCACGATGCGTATGAGTATGGTCCATACGTATACGCTTCAAAGAAATATAATTAATTAAAGAATATTTTTTCTGAGATCATTTCCTTGGTTGTTTAACGAATATTTGTAAGGACCATAAACATGGTGTGGACTTGTTAAAGAATATCTTTAAGGGTTAACAGAAGGCCTGGATTTTTTTAAGAATGGTTTTTAAGGGTCAACAGTAGACGTAGATTTTTAAAGAATATTTTTTAAGGGTTAACTGGAGGCCAAGCTTTTTTAAGAATTTTTTTATGATCAGCGGAAGGCGTAGATTTTTTAAGGATCGGCAAAAGGCGTAGATTTTTTTAAGAAACGGCAGAAGGCGTAGATTTTTTAAGAATCGGCAAAAGGCATAGATTTATTAGGGATCGGCAGAAGGCGTAGATTTTTTAAGGATCGGCAGAAGAGAATATTTTTTAAAGAAGGCGTGGATTTAAAAGGATCAACAGAAGGCCCAAATATTTTTTAATCCACACTTAATGTTGAACACTGAAATTTTTTTTAATTCCACGCCTTTTGTTAGTCTCAAAAACTATTTTTATACCCTTCACCACA